GACTTACAATCTTTGAACAAGTCCAAAACAAGCTAAATTAATGAAGATGAGCAAATAACAAGAACTGGAGCGACATTTGCTAAACAAAGTTATTAAAATTCTAAATAAAACAATAAAACACAAACAAAAAGAAGGGAAAAAAGCTGCCAAAACATTGGTATGGCTTTTTGTCCTCTTTTCTTTATCCATGATATGCAGCTTTGACACAGCTTATGTAGCTAAAAGTGCTTCAAGATTAATAAAAAAAAAATTATGCACATATACTGACAACAAGATGAATGCTAAACAAGTTTAGAACTATTGAATTTTAAATGTATACTGTATGAATCACATATTCTTGCCACTTTAGGAGGAGACACATTTACTAAATAAAAAGAAAGAAAAAAAATACACCCTTTTAAAGTTGCCAGATTTTTTCCATAATGTTTTATGCATCAACTCACTATAACTTCTTTAAACAAACCCAAATTGTGGGAAATAATTACATTTACACTATTTCGTCTGGAAGCAAATCACAGCCAAGCAACTAGAGTGACATTTGACCACTAGAATCCATCCGAGTGCAGAGGATCAGACGACAGCTTTCTTTATAACCTGACTATCAAAAGTGAGCTCACTCTCTTCTCTTCCCAGTCTATGCTCTCATTGATGACGCTAATGAATTAGGTCTGTTATTATCAAAAAGACACACAATGCAGGGGTAATGTTATAGTCCCTAAAGCAGTAACAATTTAGACTGATATACACTTACCGGTCACTTTATTAGGTACACCTTACTAGCACTTGGGTGGACCCTCTTTTGCTTTCAGAACTGCCTTAATACTTCATGACATAGATTCAACAAGGTACTAGAAATATTCCTGAGATTAAGGTACAAACTGACATGACAGCATCACGCAGTTGCTGCAGATTTGTCGGCTGCACATCCATGATGCAAATCTCCCGTTCCACCACATCCCAGGAGGAGCTCTATTGGATTGAGCTCTGGTGACTGTGGAGGACATTTTAGTACTGTGAACTCATTGTCATGTTCAAGAAACCAGTCTGGGTGACGCAGTAGGTAGTGCTGTTGCCTCACAGTAAGAAGGTTGCTGGTTCGAGCCTCAGCTGGGTTCAAAGTCCACCTGTAGGCTGTGGCGTTGTTTACACAATGCTCAATTGGTACTAATGGGCCCAAAGTGTGCAAGAAAATATCCTCCACACCATTACACAACCACCATCAGCCTGAACTGTTGATAACAGGCAGGATTGATCCATGATTTCATGATGTTGACGCCAAACTCTAACCCTACCAACCGAATGTTGCAGTAGAAAGCAAGACTCATCAGACCAGGCAACGTTTCTCCAATCTTTGGTGAGCCTGTGCATATTTTAGCCTCAGTTTCCTGTAGCTGACAGGTGTGGCACCCGGTTTGGTCTTCTGCTGCTGTAGCATATTTGTATCAAGGTTCGACGTGTTGTGCATTCAAAAATGCTCTTCTACATACATTGGCTGTAACGAGTGGTTGTTTGAGTTACTGTTACAATCTATCAGCTCAAACCAGTCTGGCCATTCTCCTCTGACCTCTGGCATCAACAAGGCATTTGCGCCCACAGAACTACTGCTCACTGGATATTTTCTCTTTTTCGGACCATACACTGTAAAGATTGCTGTGCATTAAAATCCCTGTAGATCAGCAGTTTCTGAAATACTCAGATCAGCCTGTCTGGCTGCAACAACCATGCCACGTTCAAAGTCACTTAAAAATCACCTTTCTTCGCCATTCTTATGCACAATTTGAACTGCAGCAGATCTTCTTTACCATGTCTTCATGCTTAAATGCATTGAGTTGCTGCCATGTCATTGGCTAATTACAAATTTGCTTTAACAGGCAGTTGGACAGGTTTAGCTAATAAAGTGGCCGGTGAGTGCATGCACAACACAAAATAACAAAAATTCAAAGCAAAAAGTAATTAATTAAAAATAATAATAAAAACTAGCCTATAAATGTACATGCAAAACAATCAAGTACTGTATTTAAAAGCAATTTACTTTTCATCCTTAGCTAACAAGCATCTAGAATGATTTGATTTGTACATAATTAACTCAATTTCTTCACTTAACTGTTAGTCAATCTGCATAATGTGACAAGCAAAACAACACAGAATTTGACAGATAAATCCAAAGACTTTTCTATTTGTTTGTTAATACTGGCAAACATTTTTAGAAACATTGAATAAAAATTCCCATATTCATGCCAATTTACTGTAGACTACAGCAAGGAAAACCCATTTACTAACACATCCTAACATGGAATTCACCTTGTTAAAATTGTCAGAATTTTCCATAAATGTCTCAGACATCTTCTCACTACATTTTATATGCCACTGGAGCACAAAAAACTTAAGTTTGTATTAAAGTCTTAAGTTACATTAGTCGATTTGAGAAAAATGCATTGTAGGAGCCATAAAATTATTTTATAGAAAAATCATTAGAAAAATCACTAGAATAGTAAGTAAAGATGATGTTCAATCAAAACCTAATATCTGATTTTAAATATCCATTGGCAAAAAGTTAATTTGTACACTTTAAAGGGCAATTTACGCAATATTTTGATATTTTAACCATCAACATTTAATATTTTCAATAGTATTCATTTAAATGTTATTCTGTTCTAACAAACCATGCATCAATGTCAAGCTTAAGCATCCAGATGATGCTTAAATCTCAATTTTCCCCCCAAAAGACCCCCAAGGTTTGTGGTCCAAGGTCCACATATATACATATACACATACATATATACATGATACACACATTTAAACAAACCGAAATGAAGTGAATAAATACATTATACAGTATAATGATAGAAGCATTGGAGTGACATTTGACCGCTAGGATCCATCCTGGCCATTATTAGTGCAAAGGATCAGACGACAGCTTTTTTTTTTATAACCTGACTCTCAAAAGTGAGGTCACTCTGCACTCACTGATGGTGTCTGTTATGATTAACAACAAGACACGACGCTGTGATATGTTGCAATCCCTAAAACAAGAACACAAACTTGGTATCAAAGCAGAATGCGTCTTTTGAGCACATAGCCTTGTTTTCCAGCACAGGCCACCGGTCTGAACTCAGCTGGGAATGTGCAGACATCATGGCTGAACGACTAAATACCCCTCACATCTCATCGATGCAAACAGCCACCGCTGACACCAAACAACCGGACGACAGAGCGCATTTTCGAGAGCAATTCGAAATCAATCTGCCCTTCAAACAACGACGCGTTTAAAAATAATAGTTTACCTTCGTCCAGGGCCAGACCCCAGTTACACCTCCAACATTGGCAAACACTAAAGAGAACTGATGGTACCAGGAGCAAACCAACATATGAACAAGATGTGTTTTTGCAAATATGAGCCACTTGGACGATAGCAGAGCTGTGCTTGGAGAATTGAATGGGTGTTGTGCTGACATTTACCACTGTATTTGTCCGTTTTGTACTTACTTCTTTGAGGAGATCGAAAAGAGTGCACCCCTCCTTCGTCGCAGGGATGGTACAGTCCGGCTTCCTGACACTGAGTAGGGATGAATTCAAGCTCTGTACCTTTTAAATACCACACACTACATTTTGGAAAGGTTTAAATGTTTATAGATAGATAGATAGATAGATAGATAGATAGATAGATAGATAGATAGATAGATAGATAGATAGATAGATAGATAGATAGATAGATAGATAGATAGATAGATAGATAGATAGATAGATATTATAATTTTAAATTAATAATTTTATAATTATTGTTTATTATTTAATTTATTAATGAAATAATCTGAATTATTATAATAATCATTAATTAACAAATGTTAAAATAAAACATATATAAAAATGATGCATTGACAACTGATAAGATCAGTTATCATTTAGTACAATTAGCAATAATTATAAAATCAAAGCTTATTAATAAGGGCAAGACCCCACAGGTGAAAACTGTTTTCTCCCCACAGAAGAAAACACTGCAAACAGCCAGACAAATGTATATGTTCCCATTTTTGTAACAAAATACTGTGCATGGCAAAATAAAGGTGAACACATATCTCGGTAAAAACATTTACAATAAAAAATAATAATAAAACCATTAAGTTTTTTGTATATAAGTGCTGCTAGAGTGTAGATTAATGGCTCATTTGAGGAGAAAATAAATTAATTGGTGAAACAGGCAAGCAATTAAAGTAAACAGACACAAATCAATACAGTGATCTAAGGGTTTTTTGTATGTATTTTTTAACAATCTAAAAAATAAACTAAGACAAAAATTAACAGCTTCAGTGCCTTGCCTTAAACACATAAAATATGAAAATTATTTGTGTGTGTGTGTGTGTGCTTAAAATAAAGCTGAAAGAAAATATATTACATTAAAAAAAAAATTGCATGAAAAAAATTTATCTTATGTTAAATTTAAACATCCTTTAATTTAAGCCTTAATTTAGTACTGAAGTACCTCTATTAATAGAATTCTTCCTTCAGGAAATCAATTAAAATCTGGACTAGAAACCATAACAGAGAAAGCAGATTTCTTTAAATCTGATTTAAAGGGTGGTTTATAGTCTAGGAATAGGCTTAATTTCTTTCGGAGAAATACTTGCAAAGTTTCTTATAGTCAGTTAAATGTCTGTTGAAGGAGCAGTATCAACATATATTAAGCAGACAGTCTACTAATACTCAAATGGATCATCAAAACAAAGTGTTACAAACCGTTAAATAAGATTTTTTAAATCTTTATTATCAAGATGCTAACGGTCTAATCCAATTCAATGATTTATGCTAAGCTAAGCTAAGCTAAAAGTGAGTGAGATACAGAGCAGCTGAATGGATTTTAAAAAAAAAGATAAAACTTGACTGTTTAACTCTATGGAAGCTGTAAAATAAGCCTATTGCAAAATTTAAAAAGTGTAGAGTTCCTTTGATATATTATTCAAGTGTAACCATGACTAAGTAATGTGTAAATGATTAAGACACACTCAAAACCTGTATTTTTATTCTTAAAATTAACAGGCACAAGTTACATAATTTGTATACATACCAAAAAACTCAATGAAAGAAAAAAAATCTCTTATTACTTCTTACATCTTGCAAACCAAAATTTAAATAGAACCCTTCATTATAACAAAAAAAAAAGATTTATTATATATATATACCCAAGTGTATACTTAACCTTAAGCGTGTACATTAATTGACTTCCTTTTAAATGATGACGCACAATTCTCTGCCATCAATCACACATTCAAGTTTAGCCGTGGTTTCATTTCCACACATTTTCGTTTAGTAGCAAGAACAATTGATCAAATAAAATATCCTGATAATGTGTGCAGAGGGAAGAGTCATGGCCATCTCCATGTGTTCTACACCAACACATTCACTAGGAGGTCTAAATACACTGTGCCACAGACAATGGAAAAAAAAAATAAAAAAAAAGATGACAAGCCAACCAGCTGTGGAATATTCAAGTATTTCTGAAGAGATGGCTAAAAAATACATCTTTGGAGTGTGAGAAGTTCATAAACAGTGTAAAATTTCTCATTTCTGGTCAGAATTTGTTTGTCAAACATATACATATAGTTGGGTACTACTTTGTTTTTTTGTTTTTTTCTTTCTTTCTTATTTAATCCCAGATAACATAAAAGCCAAACCTCATAATCATTGACCCTAGCAACAAATTTTCAGGAAAACTAAATTATATAATTTAATTTGAAATAACTGTGTATGTGCTGTGCAATATCATAATTTGCCTATATCTACATGTAGTCCATGCTAATAATTTTTACTTTTAAAGTTACATAAATCGATTTGTTCCATTCGTTTCCTAAACTATGTAACAGTCCTTGAGGAGAAAATATAGTCAAATGGAAAATATTTCAGTTTTTTTTTTTCATCCTTAAAAAACAAAATAAAAATACCTGAGCCAGACAAGTATGACCAGGATAATCAACACCTTGAGAATATACAAAAATTGCAATGACTTCCAAAAAGGTTACATTTGAGGTTACAAAGAATAAAACAGGAACCTCGAATTAAATAAGATGTACAATCCCAAACATACTGCCATTTTTCAAATCTTATTGGTTACTTTCGATAAAGTAAAAACATGGAAAGAAAAGAAAATTGGAATATTTAAAAGATATTTGAGCAAACTCAATCTCGTAAAAAAGATTTTATACAAATAAGATAGAACACAAGACAGAACTTTCTTGCCAACATTCAATATACTGGTTTACCAAGCACTGCAAATCTACACTGAATACTTCTGTGTCCAGGGCCTAAAACTAAGCAAAAACATTTGAGAAAATCTATCACAATACAATAAATATTTTACTGGCCCAAAAGCAATGCATAATTGAGGTAAATAGAGGCAAAACATGTCATTGCAATTATTATCGTTTGATTTTATATAGATTATTTTATTAGCTTTTAAGTTAAACAACAAAGCTTTTATTTTGGAGGAGATTACTACTATTTTGAAAGGATTCTGTTTTATTGGCAGCCCATTTATGAACTATTTTCAATCTAAACCTGGGAAAATGTTTGCCTTTTCAAATACACAGCAAGCTGCTTCAAAATACTGAATACTAGTTTTCTGTAAAGTTTTCATAATCATACTGAACCATATTGCTTTCTCAGCCATTATTAATACCATTAGTATCATATACTAAACAACAGCAATTTAGTTTTAGGCCCTGGTTTCATCCGGTAGGAGTTAGTAGAGGTAAGTATGAGATTGATTGATGATCAAGGTTGGTTTTAATGCTTAAATGCACCAAATAAAGTCCAAAGAAGACTCAGAGACTAACCTCCATATGCAGTGATATCAGAACTTGAGATGAATGAGAACAAAACGTACCATTTGTATATTAAACTATTTACAGCGATTCATCAGAAATTCAACCTCCTAAACAAACCTTTCTTTTCTTATATCATTTCACAGTGCATATCATTTCAGTAGGAATGAAAGTAAAGCGAAGGAACACTACAATCATTTCAGTATTTGTTTTGGATCGTGACTATTGATTTGGATTTCTCATTATTGGCCCTGAAAATGCACCCAAATTCTTGTTATTGCACAAGACACGTGGAGCTTAAAACAAACTAGAGACAGAAAATGAACAGTGTGGTGTGGTAATCTTACTATCAAAATAAAATAATAATAAAATCCTGGATGAAACAAAATTTCTTCACAACTACCAATGATGGTCCGTTTCCGTTCTGTTTATAATTTATTTCCATTCGTCATCTCTTTTGTTAACCCCCAAACATGCATCCAACTGGCTACCAGTAACACAGCTGACATCGTTTCCCGTGTTTGTGGTCCACAGGAGTCCATGCTTTAGTTTGAGTCCAAGGTTAAAGTTCAGAGACCATATGATATTCAAAAAAGTGCTTCTATAGGTCAGTAGAACTTCTTCCCTCTTGGAGTTCAAGAAAGTTCATATTAACAGGTATCATCTGTGAGGGAAAAATAATACATGTATTTAAATACATTTGCAATACATTTACTCTATCAGTTTTAATCTACTGCAAATGTCAACAAAGAGTGTGTTCACTGGTTTGGTTTCATTACAACAAACTCTAGTGTAATTGCTCTTTATATTTTCTTATTTATACATTTACTACCTGAAAAAAGTCTTGTCGCATATTCAAGTTTTAGGAACAGCAAATAAAAATTTGACTACTAGTTGATCATTTGATATCCGAAGTAGCTATCCGAAAGACAAAGGCCTCTAGATTACGCTTATTTTACCAAAATAAAACATGATGCTAATTTTTAATTATTTAATTAGGACGGTAAGGTCTGACTTTGCTTAGACAAAAGTCTTGTCACTTACCAGAAATAAATGCACACAGAATATAAAGTCATGGTGCAGTTGAAAAATAATTAATATTGTGTTTGACTCCCATGAGCTTGGACGACTGCATCCATACATTTCTGCAATGACTCAAATAACTAATTAATAAAGTCATCTGGATTGTCAAAGAAAGTGTTCTTGCAGTACTCCCAAAGTTTATCAAGATTCTTTGGATTCATCTTTAATGGCTCCATCTTACCACAGACATGCTCAATGTTCATGTCCGGTGACTGGGCTGGCCAATCCTGAAGCACCTCAACCTTTTTTGCTTTCAGGAGCTTTGATGTGGAGGTTGAAGTATGAGAAGGAGCACTATCCTGCTGAAGAATTTCCCCTCTTCTATGGTTTGTAATGTAATGGGCAGCACACAGGCTGTTGATGTTGCCATCCACTCTGCAGATTTCTCGCAAACCCCCATACTGAATGTAACCCCAAATCATGATTTTTGACTAATTTCTGTGGGAATCTTGGGTCCATGTGGGTTCCAATAGGTCTTCTGCAGTAATTGTGATGATTGGGATGCAGCTCAATAGATGATTCATCAGAAAAATCTACCTTCTGATACTTTCCAAATGGTCAACTAGAAGTCAAGTTATTATTTGTTGCTCTTACAACTGGAATCAACGACAAGACAACGACAAGGTAGTGTGCTTTGTAAAAATTTCACACCTCATCTGGTGGTTAATCAAACAAGCTACTTAAAGATGAGTCTTGGTCTGTATTCAAAATCTGTAGCCTTTTGACTTATTAAATAATGCATAATACTAAATAAATAATGCATCATTGACCAAAGAAACCTAAATGAAGCAAAAACATTTGTTGTAAATTTAAACCTTTACGGCAACCTGTGCACAAGCATGTTCGACCCTAAAATCCCAGTTTGTTTGACCACTTTGTACTTTACCTGTACAGCGGTCACTTACACCCTGCTCACACTGTGCAATTTCAGCCATGATTTGGTCGCCTGAGTCAAATTGCAATCATAAAATATTGCTGAAATTCTAATTTTAAATATCTGTTGTCTTTGATCATTGCTTTGACATGTTCACCAACTGCTGCGTAATGGCCGTCATGATCAGATTTTCCCTCTATTGAAGCTCTAGCAGTGGCAAAAGATTTCAGACACTTTCCTGCAATGTGACTTCAGCTCATAAAACTAAGAACCAATAGGCGGACCTCTTGGAAGAGGTGGGGCTAGAGGGCAGTTCCTTTGGGCTCAGGTGCAATATACATGTAGTGTGAGCGCTAATCAGCTGTTATAGTCCATTTGTACAAAAATGATGCTGACACTTATTTCAGTATGTTGATGTACTTTAAAATTAAGCAGTTGGCAGGGCTTTCTTTTGTGCATCATTCTCTCATAGCAAACTAATGGTAAGATGGGCATGGTTAAGGTTATTTATATACAGTTGCTCTGGAAGACAACAGAATGACTGTCACACCAAATATGGAAGCAAGCAAAACAAACTCTTTTTCGGTTGATGAACTTACACAGATTAATTATTCACTTAAAAATAACAATGGAAGCTAGCAAAATAAAAAAAAAATAATTGTAAGTGAGTTTATTTTAAAACATTTTTGCTTGTGGGAAAAAATGTGAAAGCCCTGAATATGTAAAGGAGTAAATTGTGAAAGCATTGTGTCACTGATTGTCAAACAGCTTCAAATAACAAACCAGAATCGGAATAAGGCAATGTACTTCACTGTGCTGAGCAAAAAGGCTTCTTTTGGATCAAAATTGCATAAGTGTGTTTGGCTCGTAACAGAAGTGTAAAGTAAGGCGCTGTGGACACTAGAGCTATGTTCCTCAACCACGTTTCTGGATGACCACCTGCACTGCATGTTTTGGATGTCTCCTTTGTCTGTCACACCCATTTCAGGGGCCTCTTGTATCAATGCTGCGTACACACAAAAACTTTGCGTACGCCAGGTTTCACGCTCAGAATCGCTCACATTTGGATTTACTAACGATAAAATGAACGTGGGAATGTGCGCAGCTCCACGGCAGCTTTATGGCTGGCGTACGCACATTTTTTGTGCGTGTCTGTTTTATTTCCATTGGTGACTCCTATAGAGGCAGTTGTGTTAAATTCCTCTCTACAAGTGTCTTTGAGCTGTGCAATGGCAGCTGTATGGGACGGGTTCATCTAGCAGGTATATAAGGTTTCCATACCATACAGTTGACCAGCTAAACATTAAAGCACAATTTGCAACGATCGCCTGTTTTCCCAATGTAATCTGAGCTATCTACTGCAAGCACATTGCTATAAAGACACTATCTAAAGATGAATTTGCACGCGTGAAACATTTCCATTTAATAAATGTGCAAATAAAATATGATGCACAGACTTATTAATGATTCCTACTTGTCTTTCTCGTGATAAATAGTTGGCAAAATCTGACATGTAGCGGGGGAAAAAAGACGAATGAGTTCAACAGACACTGGATTCGAACCGAGTTCATACGTAAACGTGTCAAAACATGACGACATGCGTCTTACGAGCTGCGCCACTGAGACTGTTATGGGAAGTGCAACATTTTACACATATAAACCACACTATTTTTTTTTTTTATTCACTCATTCACGATGTTCAGACCCAACTGTGTTAACCGCATCAGCTAAACTCTCCCCACTCTATTTTTTTTTTATGTTATTAATTCCAGAGGACAAACTTGCAAATAACACGGTTTTATCCGGTCTACCTCCGAAAGCAGCACCTCCAATTCACATTCTGTTCAAAGTTTCTCTTCTTGCTGGCTTTTGCTTTTGTGTTTTCGTTGGGTTTTGCCAAAGTAGAGTCATTTGCATATTCATACGGGGGAGGAGGCAGGGAGGGGTTTTGTGCCAGTGCATGTTGCGCTCAGTTTCACGTTCATTCGGATGTACAAAAGAACATGCGCGGGATTCGGCGTACGCAGTGTTTCACACATCTGAATTTTTTTCTGCGTACGCACATTTACAGCTTTGTGCGTACGCAATGTTTTAGTATGATTTCCACGCAAGTCTTCGTACAGGCCCCAGGTCTTTCAGTCTCTGCTAATGAACTGATGATCTGAATCAGGTGTGTTTGGTTAAGGAGACAGAAAATGTGCAGAGTTGGTGGTCCTCCAGGTACATGATTGAGAGACACTGCACTAGAGCATATTGGTTTTAAAATAGTTTTCATATTGGTTTTGTTGTGGTTATGCCTGCCACCCACATTACGCCAACATCTCTCACCTGAAAAAGGACCATTTGTAAAATGCTTTAGACCACATTTTAGTTTGGACTCTGATTGGTCTTCTGGATTATTGCACAATGTTCCTTGCTTCGTCTGTATTTTCATTCTAAAACCAAGTTTTAAAACTAAAACGCACTAGGGTAAATGCAGTCTGAGACAGCAATTCATAATGGTCCCCGCTAGCCTGCACTCAGTTTAAGGCAAGTGTGACTCGTGCGAGTACAACTTTAAACAAACCACACCTAAATGACAGATCCCTCAAGTATGTTTTTTTTTTTCATGTAAAAGTTTCAATGCTGCTCTTAATAGTTCAATACAATTCACAACGGATAAAAAAAAATACATGCACACAAAAAGCACAAAGCAAACAGCATTGTTTAGATGTTCAGTAAGCCCCATCTCAAAATATGACAATTTATTTTTGTTTTTTTAAGTTAAATGTCAACAATGATTATCATGCAAACCAGGACCAAATTATATTCACCAACAGAACCAAAGTGTTGTAAAAACACACAAAAAAAAACTAATTCTTACCATGATACCACCATTTTGTCTTCTTTGGATTTTTATTACAAGTTCGTACATAAAATGAATTATCAGGAGGCCGTCTCTGTAAAGGACAAAATACATAAATACAGTAGCAGTATCAACTATTTATATATTAAAAATTCTAATGATGAAAAATACATCAAAATTTCTATACAATTATAAGCAGCACAACTTTTTTCATTGTTGATATCAGAGTTGGGTGTAAAGCTTTCCACAGTAATGCGGTACTGTATTCTAATTACATTTTTTGTGAATGTAGTAATATAAAGAATTACATTTTAAACTTGTGTAATTTGACTACAGTTAACAAAGTCAGTGTAATTGCATTACTTGCATCGCAAATATAGATTTTAGAAAAAAAAAATCATGATTTTTACTGCAACAACAGTTAATGAGCATTCTCTTTTAAATTGCTGGAGAACACGAGCTGAAATGCAGTCTACGTCCAGTCTTTAAAGTACTTTTGACTGCTTTTAACTCGACCAGCAAGCACTTGTTCAAGCACTTAAACAAAAAGCATTCTAGGACAATACTTGTTACTTTACTCAATACCCGCAACCCGTTCACTTATTCCAGATTTCACATATTAAACATTTGAGCATTTAAAGTTTGTCTCCATAACCGCAGACATAGTATGTGTTTTTCCTACTACGGATGTCAATGGTTGCAGGTATCCAGATTTCTTCAAAATTTCTTCTTTTGTGTTCAAAAGATTAAAAAAAAAAAAGTTTGAAACAAGATTAGGTAAATGATGAGAGAATTTTTATATTTTGTATATGTTTTATATGTTTCAAAAGTAATTTCAAAGTAAAGTAATTAGTAATCTGTTTATTTTTTACATGAAGTAATTAGTAATGTTATCAAATTACAATTTTCCTGTAGGAGTCAAATTGTATTCTATTACTTTTTTAAAGCAACTTACCCAACACTGTTAATAACAAGAAACCTGGTTTATTCACCAAATAAGCACATTAGAAGAATGTAAGACAATGAAGACTGGAGTGATCATGCTAAACAAGAAGATAAATTTGTATTATTTGACTATATACATATATAGAATATTTACATTTGTAAAAAATTAACAAGCACTGCAAAGTTTTAAAAAGTACATTCCAACTAATTAACTAATAATGACTATTATAACCATGAAAGATTATGGTAAATAAAATTTCAGATGTTGGTCTCCAAGTTTGTACAGACTGTGACTTATGTAAAGTCAGCTTTAGGACACATTTAAGCAAGAACTATAATAAGTAAACCATAGATAAAGAAAGGCTTCAGATTTTGCTGTGAAACATTGTTAATGTCTTACTATTGTCATTAATGAACAAACATATGTGTCCCATATTAGAAACTAATTTTCTGAATGCATTAACGTGAAAAAATGGAAAATGTAATCTACACTTTTATCAAACATACAATAATCAAGTTTTGAAAAAGCCATTAGATAGCAAACATCCTCAACAAAACACTCACCTTCTCTTTGCAGCTGGACAGCATGCTAATAATGCTAAGACAAACAGACTGGACTGAAAGGGCTGGTGACCAGTCCTCCGTTAAGATGGACAGGCAGATGTGGCCATTGCTATAAACGTGGGGATGGACAGGTATATTGTCTCCTGTGAACATTACCTGCCAAAACACAACAGAAACACAGAATCTCGGTTAAACAATATGGTATACTATAAATGAGTTTAAAAATGATAACAATGGTCAAGCAATTCAATGAATTCCTAATGAGCATATAACCAAAAAAAAAAAGTTTTTAATTTGCGTTTAAATGCATAAAATGTCACCTGTGAATCATAATAAATATACACAAATGCTACTTTGTTATTATTGTAGAGTAAACATTGCTTTTGTTAATACTGATTCAATCTGATCAGCAACTTGTTCTTCTTGGCTGTGTCGTATTATTCAAATTTAATTAAAAATTGTTTTAGGACAATGTTAAATTTACATATGAATCTAAGACACATACAAATGTTATATTTACATATGATTCTGAGACACATACAAATGGACGCAAATGGACAATGGCCCTTTTCCTTAAAATATACAGATTAAAATGTATTTAAGGAGTTAATGGATTTTAATGCAGTTAAATATCATAAGAAGGAGCTCTTAATCATTTAAGTTAGTTCAAATGTATTTATTTAATCTAAGCGCATATAAAAAAAACTGTTAAACTGTTTGTCATTTTTCTAAATATTTGTATAACATATGTAATTTATTAAAAATGGCTTAGAGACAGAATATTGTACCTAAAAATATAGACAACAGACATTCAAATAGAAACGTAGACAGATGGACAAACATGTGGATAGATAGATAGAGACAGACATGCATAGACTGATACATACATAGAGAAACACACAGAAATGAACATAGAGACAGAGAGAGCCAAGAGGACAGATTAGTAGGATAAATATGGATGGATGGATGAAGGGATGGACGGACGGACAAGTACACTGATAGATGAATAGAGAGACAGATTGACAGACAGGTAGACATACAGACAGAGCAATAGATCAGATAGACAGAGAGACACTGGCACTTACATAGACAGACAGACACATACGAAAATAGATAGGCACACTGTAATCAGGTTTCAGCAAGAATTTTTAAATGATACAAAGTTTTACTTAATATTTTAGTCAGCTTAAACCAAGTTGAAATGACAACAAAAATTCCTTTGACTCAACTAAAAAATAGAAAATTCACAGTGAAGACAGCCAAATAGACATTCTGATACATACATAAATAGACAAACAGATATGAAGATAGACAGACAAACAGACAGACAGACAGAAAGACAGACAAAAAGAAAGAGTCAGACAAGTAGACAGACAGGCTGAAATGTAGACAGATGGACGAACAGCAAATGGACAGTCGGATAGACGAATGGATAGAGACAGATAGATATACAAATAGACAGAAAAGACAGACAGTGTGTATGTTTTACCCAACGAAAACATGCAGATTATATTGATTTGTCCATGCAAGTTTGTTCTCAGGGGTCTAAAAAAAAAATTGGGTCCAGAATTTTGGTCTTTGTTCTGTAGTCAGATCTAAAGGCCGGCTCACACGATGCAAATTTTTATAATCCTGAATGATTGTAGCATGTTAGACTACATGAACATGACTCCCATGTCACACTGTAAGATCTCAGCCATCATACTGTCAAACTGAACGACAATAAAGATGCACCAAACATGGAAGAAACCTTCTCCGGAGTTTGACGTCATCCACCTGTGACACTTTCAATATCCCGCGTTCTGAAATGATTACTTGCAGCAAACATAAAAAATTCAGAGTGCTATGTGTGTGCATGTTGGTTTGTGTTCGCTCTCTGCTGTTCATAATGTATGCTTTGTTCTGTGTTTCTGAATAATTACATAGACGTAAATTAGGTCACGGTTAAAAAGTTTATCCTTCCTTTTTGGGGAAAAGGAAATAGTTTACCAAGTCGCGCGACATTCATTTTGCCCGTAGCTAACTCCAATGTTCAGAAACACTAGGTAAGTGGGTGAGCGCCGCATTTTGTATTTTTGCTTATTATTTCAGGGACTTTAGGTGTGGCGTCGCAAACGCTAAAGATTTCGGTTTCTTTTTCACATTTTGATTTTTATTAGTAAGTTTAGAGGGGGATTTTGTGTTTTAGTTTAGGTGGCTTTTGGTTTTGTTTAGTTCTTTGCTTTGGCGCCACTCTAGTTCCTTTTTCCCCTAAAACTTTTGATTGTATTTCTTTTTTTCTTTTTATTATTATTATTATACATGCATTGTACAAAGCGCACACATGTAAGCCTCTCTTTTGTTGGCTTCATTTTTCTTCTCCTCGTAAGAGGAATAAACGAATTGAATGTAAATTGTGTCCTGGTGTATTTTCCATCCATCTACTCAGTAATAATTTAATATTATAAGTGTTACGTTTATTTTCCCTAGACAACTTAATTAAACCGTAACACACGTTCATTTGAATTGTTGCATGGATTGCGTCATCAGATTCTGCGCTCCTATTGGTTATTGGATTGATGCTCATCGCAGATGTTGTCACACTGCAGGAAAGTGTCTGTAATCTTCTGACACTGCTAGAACTTCATCGGAGGGAAAATCTGATGGCAAAGGGCTTTAAGCAACTGTCTGTGAACATGTCGATCAACAATCAAAGACCACAGATTTTAGCCTAGGATTTCAGGAATCTTTTAGGATTTCCCAAATTTGTCTCAGATGACAAAATCGTTGCTGAAATCTCACAGTGTGAGCAAGGCTTTAGTTTCAGGACTGAAAACACAGCTGTTTAGCTATACCTTTACTGAATGAGCAACATTAATTTCTTTTTCATTCTTTTAAAATCTGTTCTAACACATTTTATTCTGGTTTTATTTGTTTTTAATCATTCTTATACTTCTATATATTTTATTTATATTTATGCAAAGCACTTTAAATTACTATAGTGTATAAAATGTGCTTTATAAATAAACTTGTCTTGCCTCAGGGTAATAATGAGACAAAACCCATTTCACATTTAAATGCATTTCGTCACTAATGAAAACTGCACATACGGAGAAGTGATTCTCAATTTCGAAACAAATTATAACATTTCTCTCAGCATTGCATGCTGAAACTGTAATATAACTCATATTAACAGCAGCGGATGTTTAATTAATGCATTACAATTTCTCTAAACTCATTCGATTTCAGTCTACCGTATTTAGCTGAATAAAATGAAAACAATTCAGTTGACTCAAATATGACTAAAACTCTAAATTTGCTGTCAAAATTAAAACTGGGTCTCTTTGTTTATTTTAGAACCTCACAGTTCCAATCCACATCCACTTTATTTGAATGAAAAACAGCAGCGTGGACATTATTTTAAACGCCTCCTTTTGTGTTCCACAGAATAAAGTCAGTAATATGGATTTGGAGCAGCACGTGGGATGAGTAAATGATGACAGAAATGTAATTCGGAGGTGCACTATCCCTTTAAATCATAAGCCAGTACTTAGGCCACACAATTGGCATGAGGCCGCTAGATTAGAAGCTGGACACAAAAACAGACGTCTGAATGAGAAGCTGGCGCCACACGCGGATGATCATGACCAAGAGCATAACAAAATACAGACAGGGTCTCACTTATGATTAAATGCACTTAATACACAAAAACAAGACCACTATAGCAACAAAAAAAGTTGTTTGGCCCCTTTAATCTTAAGAGCTGCCCTATTTAATCTGAATTAAGTCCTCTGACTAAGAATACACACACTTTTTACACTTCGTATCAGCTGATGATGAAGTTTTTAAATGTGCCTGTCTGTCATCACAATTATAAAGTCATGCTGTTCTTATCTCTAAAAGCTTTGGTTGTGTCTGAGAATGTTATCTAATTTTGTCAATTTTGCTATATTTATAGCGGGTCTGATATGTAAAATAAGACCTGATGTAACCGCCTCAAATGTGGAACTTAAATTTGCTGTCTATAAATTTAAAATGAATATTTTGCTTTTGTCGTTGTACTATTAATATTCAGTTGAAAAAGGAACTTGATAAAATAAATTTGTCACATAATTAAAATTAACACAATCTAATAGAACATACTTCATAGTTAAAGTGCTTTTACAAATACAACCTGTGGGAGGATCTTTTCCAAGAATCAAAAACTTGTGTCATCCTGGAGAGACCATTTCTGCAACGGGTAAAAACAATCTGATCCCACCGGTTAGAATAAGAAGTTTCTTTTACCGACATTAGGGCTAATTTCATAAAGGTTTGTTATTTGTAAGTATTTTTTGTAGTATTCTCTCTGGCATTTTTTTATTCAAGTATAAATAAATCATTGGTTTTAGAACCAAAAGGATGTACTGAACACATTTTGGTCTTTGTTGCGTTTCCTAGCAATATGGCATGAGCTAAAAAGCTCCTATTATTGGTTTATGAAAATTGCTCTCCAAGCAGTGTGCAACACAGCTCTAAGTGAATTAAAACATTCAGCTGAGGTTTAAATCTGAAAGTGTACCTTTTTTAAAAATATAGATTTTTTTTTTAATAAAAGATTTGACTCAGAGTCATTTAAATGATTTGTCGTTCGTCCGGATCTTTTGCCTGTTTGTATTGACATCGACACAAAACATATCAAATATGAACTGCCGGTAAAAAAAGTGAACGCACTTTTTACTTCAGACACTAGCGGAGTGCGAGGAATTATGGGATTAATTATGATGCAAAGATTCTTATCACTGAAAGATGGCCAGAGATGCAGCTGGGGGGTATACAAGGGTTAAGTTCATTTTTAAAACAGCACCACAGTATAGCAACCATGTGCTTGTGTTTTTTCCTTTCATTTTAGGATGACTGATACAATAATCTAAGCTGCTCCAATTGGTATTAAAGGAATGATCAACAAAGGTTACTAATGTATGGGACTTTGTCAGTAACTGTTACAGTTTGTATGGACCAGCTTCTTCTTCTCAAGATCCTGTAAGTGTTGCTACTTCCAACACAACGTGACGTGGAATTAAAATGGTAGCCTTTTTTTCTGTAGTTTGCAAAATATGCTTTTAAAAGTGTTGCAACTTGTAATGAGTCCGCACAGCTTGTAAACACATATCTATGATAGATCACACAGATTAGATACTTGCGTGTATTCAAGCGTGTAGCCTGGATGTCTGTACCTGGGAGTACTTTTTGCCATGTGCAGCAATAATTCATGAGAAAGACTTGATTCACACCAATCAGAGCGCTCTATTGTGTATGCAGTGCAACTTCATTAATATGCATGATAGCTTCAAAGACTGTTTTACCTTTACAGTGTTCAGACAGCAGAGAGCCACATTGTGGACACCACATTGTGTTGCCGAAACAAGTGGGAGAAGAATTGTTTGGAGCTACAATTACTAAGTTACTAAAATTTACAGTACGTTAATAGCACTACAATATTGTAGAATGAAAGATCCACTGTAAATTCTGCTTCGAGTGTAAACATGTAAACACCGCAATCAAACTATTACGGTTGTGTAGGATTTTCACCGCAATTTGTGACAGGAAAAACACACATGGCTTTCTGACGCTACCTACAGAGTGCATCTCAGTTACAGAGAAATGGAGAGGGTTTTTATTTCCTTTGCCATTACCATGCGGTAATAAACATTGCATTAAAAATACACACTTCCAGCAGTTCCTTGAATCAAATATCTTGTTTGTCACGAGGGGCATGAATGAAATGTTCCTGAATGAAAGTGCCAACTTCAGGTAAAGTCCACCATTTAATTTGGCAAATAGTTTGATTACTGATGTCCATGTAAACGCAGTCACTGTCTTTCTGCCCTGCATCTGTGTGTTTGTTTTGCCTCTATGAAAATCAGCATGTGCCCATACCGAAACTCCTATTTTTGCACTTTCCCTCTTTCCCTCCTCCGACACTTCCCCCTAAACAGAGCTGGACACACCCACTTTCCTGACTTTTTCCAAACTAGAGGAGTGAAAACACCCTGCTGAAAGAAGGGGGTTTCGTGGCCCTTTAAATAAATGCATATTCTAAGGCAGGGTTTTTCAAACTGGGGGCCGCCAGAAAAATTTTAGATAAGGGGTAATCAATGGGCCCAGATGGATGAATTTTGTGTCCCGCATCATTCTGAAGGTTAATATATTTTTTATAATAATTTGAGCTCAAAAGTACTGCAAAAAATAAGCTTTATGCTTATGTCATTTAAATGCAGTTGACACTTGAAACAGGAAAAGAGGCGCAGCGGCACCATTTTTGGCGCTTGTCTGCTGCACCTGACGGCGTTAACCTTTCACTTACGCTTACCTCTTTTACGCTAAACAACAAAATGAATAATCAGGTCTATTTACTGACAATATTTCAGTTAAAATACATGATCAATAAGAACATTATCGGAGGCTGAAAGCACTACTCTGTTTATGGCTTGCGTTCCTAGGTAACCGATCAGCTGGGTGCTGCGGAGCGAGCGCCTCTTTGCGCAGGCTTCACTCATGGGGAACAAATAGCATTTTAAAGACACGGCACGACATTGCACCTCGTCCAAAGTGCGACAGGCTTTACACTTTGCATTGTACAAATATCAGACGGTCCTCTTTGCAGCATGGCAAACACACATATTAAAATTGTAAAGCAAAAAGTGCTGCAATAACAATGAATGGGGCTGTCATCACATCAGCGAGTGCTCAGAGTTTTACCCCTGTTACACTAATGACAGCTGGATGAACTCTGCAGTGGACCTCTTACTCAAATTGGTTCATAACTGGATGATTAAAAAAACTAAATTGTATACACCCTGAATAAAACCACTTTAGCCTATAAAAATTATAATGTATCTGTTTGTGTTATGTTATAGGGCTAATTAATTATTAAATATTTAAATGTATTAGTGCTCTGTATTTAATGGAGCTCAACATATGATCAAATTTTAATACTCTGGATATAAATGCATTTTTTTCAAGATGTTCCACTTTTTCCCATATTTATTTGTGTAACTAATTTAAATGTAATGTTTAGTATTATTAATAGAACACACTGGTATGAACATTTTAAAGTCAGCAAAGCTTAAGCAAAGTAAAATTTGTGGCTCTTTGATAAAAAATAATTTCCTAAATGCAATCTGGGTATTCAAGTTCAGTGTAAGTCAGGATTGTCGACCTGAGTAAATTATAATGTGCACAAAAAAAAAGGAATAAAAATAAACAAAACACACAGCCTCCATTGTAGTATTGCTAGTTACAACAGTACAGTTAACTGTTAACAGGCTGATGAATGACAAAACTCTTTAAAACTTTAAAGCTTTAAAGCTTTAGATACATTTAGAGTCTCAGCTATAAGGGTAAATACAGAAGAGTCTAGCTGTGCATAAAAAAAGCATAAAAATGGCATAAAAAACTGTGTAAACGTGATGACTCGAACACAAAATATGGCTTGATGGAATCCAGTGAAAGAAGACCACAATAAACACTGCGCATGAAGATTTGATCAATAGTGAAGCACTGAAACCATGTCAACTCAACTAACATCTTACAAAAATGAATCCAGATAATGAATAATATAAATGTATTGAATAATATATAATAATATAAATGTATTGAATAATACAATTTTAAAAAATTAAGGACAGTTGTTAATTTGAGGGGGTGGCGTGATATTTATTTTTTGGGGGTCCCCGAAAGAATTTGCCCTACACAAAGGGGCCCTCAGCTGAAAAAGTTTGAAAACCCCTGTTCTAGGGCAATAAAAAATGTTTTTGACCTTGCATGTATATTGTTGGAGACCCCCATAACTAAAATATTACGTTTTATAATGCATAATAGGGACTCTTTAATAGTCCAGAAAATCAAGGACCCCCTCCATCACGTGGGCCCTTCCTTCCATTTAGCACTGGCCCTGGTTATCTATATGATCCATCAAAGATTCTTCAAGCTAAACTTATTACACTTACACTCACTGGCTGTTGTCACATTCATTTCTGCTTTGGAAAAAGCTTGATCCACATAAAGTAAAAACGTCTTAAGCTTTTCTTCATCAGCCTAAATTTCATTTATGATTACAATATTGACATCATTTAGAAATCATTTTTTGTTTTAGTTAACTGGAAGATCACTGCGAGCAATCACACAAATTACTGGCTATTAATAGATCCATGACAGGTAAAAGAAGTCAGAAACAGTATTACCTTTATCTAAAACTTTCAAAATGCATTTGATTTAAATGATTCATGCTAATTTAATTTGTGTTAGCATTAAATTAAGTTAATTTAATTGAATATGCATAGCTAGTGTTTTTTAGCCAATGATAAACTTCCGGTGAAAGCTTAATGTGACAATTTCACAAGGTTACTTTTACAACACTGATGCTGGTATGTACATTCCATAAATTACATTTATATTCAGTTAAATTGAATTAAGCATTCATTTAGTTGTTTGTAAAACGAGATGAAAGACTAGCTAATGCTGTCTAGAGCAGCAGGCTAGCACAGAAAATCCATTAAAATACTGGAGTAAAACAAACTGTCATATTTTAAAGACATTGAATTTAATGCAGTGCTTCTTGTCTGGTCTGAGACCAACTTCATATCATATATGTATCAGTCAGTGAAGATCACTGATTTTTAAAGAAATCAGATCTTAAAATGTGTCGATTTTGTAATAAAAAAGAAAAAAAAAGAAAAAAAAAAGAAAAAGTCCTGGAGCTGGCAGGCTGAAAATTAAAAGTCTGTGTGTATATACCATCTTAAAACAGAAAATCTTAAAACATTGATTTGGAGTCGTTCACAACTGCTCAAATCTAGTATAAATCCAATCTAGATGATAAGAGTCTAGCCCAATAAAACTGACGCTGCATATGCTGAACATTTCTAGCTCCTAACAACATTTTTTTTTTTCACTTGTGCAGTTAGTTAAACAAAGATGACTGCTAGATGTATACAATGAGTCTAATAAAAAATGTTTAAACTTACCTGAGGCGAGTCAAAGGGATAACGACTACTAAATTTAAAAAGAAGCTGGAATTTTTCCCCTTCATAAACAGTACCAGAGGCTCCTTCCATGTCCACTATCCATCTGTAACATAAGACGGAAAGACATCCATGAACATTGACTGACTATGGCCACCATCACACTACATCAACGTACTACACATGAAAAAGCTTGGTGTTTTTGAAAAGGTTTGCCTGCAGATGGCAAAGTTGTCCTGGTCTCATACTGTACATTCACAATAAGCACTGGAAATGCTATAGTTTGCAGTATATAGTGCTATAGTTAGGCCAGTAGATGGTGATGTCACTTAATATCTTGAACAGCTCAAAAACGATCCTGTAGCCTGCTATTGTTGTTTTGGTAAAGGGAAAGTTCACCTGAAAATCTAAATTCACCAAAAACCTCAAGTGATTCCAAACCAGTTGGAGATACTTTTGTTATTTTAACTAAACAAAAAAAAATGTTTGTAGTATACATTGTATAATGTATAGTTGTATAATTTGTAGTATACATTATATAATGCAGTAATCTTTTTAACATTATAAATACAATTGTAATGTAAAAAATATTGCAAATAAAAGCTTTTTCTTTAATAAAAGAATCCTAAAAGTAAAATGTATTAAAGTTTCCATGATCCTACCAACAGTATTTACTGTTTTTCATCAAATGCAGCCTTGGTGAAAAGAAATTTCCTCTTTAAAAACATTAACATATCTTACTGTTTTCTAAGAAGATATTTTGAGGAATGTATTAACCACCGACTTTGATAGTAGGAAAAACAAATACTATAGAAGTTAAAGGTTACTGGTTTACAACATGTCAAAACATCTAACTTTGTGTTCAACAGAAATAAGAAGAAACTCAAACAGCCTTGTGAGAAGCGAAGGGTGCGTAAATGACAGTTTTCAATTTCAGGTGAATTATCCCTTTAAATGTTATCTAAAAAAAACACTTCTTCTTGACAGGAAATCAATCAATTTATAGCCATTTTGGTTACCGCAAACCAATGAAGAGCATTTTGGCAAGCTGTAATTCCTAGTAACCTAACAGTACTCAGGTGAGTGAGAACGAACAGAGAACTAAAGGGTGCAGGGATTTTCCTGACTCAGCAGAAACACTCAAACGTGTCATTATGTGCTCATGTGTGTCCTTCACTAATTCCAAAGCCTTTTGCACTGAGATTACTGGCATACAATGCCTGATATCACTGGAGGAAACATCTGGCACAGAGAGCAACACAAAGTTTTGGTGAACGAAAATGCACAAAATATATGGGGCGGGCAAATATAATTTGTCTCAGAGTCAAGTTTGCCTCAAATGAAACCGAATTTGAGCAATTCCATTATTATGGGCGTGACATTTGAGATAGAAACTCAAAGCATAAATTCACATGGAAATTATATCTTAACATTATATTGAGACCTAAAAAGACTGTATTGGTTTGTAATGCAGCACCAACTGTTATGTGGTGGTCACTCCCGGAAGTCGGTCAGGACACAGGAAGCGGACCAGTAACTGGATCTCTGTATAATAAACATCTTCAGCAAACTGTGTCTCAACAACAAATAACAATTTATTAATATCATCTTTTCAGAAATTTATATCCTTACATGATCATCTTAACAACCAAAGTAACAAAAATTATGAACTATTAAAATGAACAAATAACTACAACTCACATAGGTGCAGTAACGTACAGAAACGTGACAGAATATAACAAGTCCTATTTTTCCAATCTACTATTGTTCAATTTTGATGAGCCTGTGCAATTTGTAGCCTCAGTTTGCGGTTCTTAGCTGACAGGAGTGGCACCCCGTGTGCCCATCCGCCTCAAGGTTGGAAGTGTTGTTTGTTCAGAAATGCTCTTCTGATTGCCTTGATAATGTCTACATGCCTAAATGCATTGAGTTGCTGCCATGTGATTGGCTGATTAGAAATTTGCGTTAACGAGCAGTTAGACAGGTGTACCAAATAAAGTGGCCAGTAAGTGTAGTTCTGCCTTTGCTAGATGTCATAAAGACCACTAATCAAATCGTTCATCGATAATTAGTGATACTTTCTCATAAAACATCATTCATACAATTAGAAATGCAGGGTTCAACAATTCATTCATCAACACAAATCCATTAAGTCAACAAAACTATTTTAAGTAAATTGAACATAAAACAATTACCTTTCCACCTAAAAAATCTCTAGAATGGTGTTGCTTCAGCACATTTAAATAAGTAGTTTGAACAAGCAACAAAAATAGTTAAGTGTACATTTATTCATTCAGTAGATATTTTTATCCTAAGCGACTTACAAATGTGAATAAAAAAGCACTTTAAATCACCAGAAAGCAGCAATAAGGGGTTTAGATGCCATAACAAGTCTAATACTGAGTTCAGACAGCATGATTTTAGCCCTAACTTAGACTAACCGTTAGACTTTGAGAAAATCGCAGACAAATGCCAGAAATCACAGGCAAATCAGTGCTCATTTACATGAGTAACAATCACACAGTGTGAACTATCAAAAACATGATTTAAGAGAATCGCAGATGTGTCGCAGACACCGACGAGATAGTTAACATGCTAAATATCTGGACCTGTCTGTGATTGAAAATCATGCAGTGTGAAAAGTGTTCTGATTGAAAGTAACATCACTGTTTACCTACAGCCAATGAGAGAGCAGCATCCACTAGTGTGAGTATCTGCAGGCCAGCAGAAAAACTAGTGGTAATTTGGCAGGAGCACTCGTGTCTGTTTGATGTGTCATCTGAGCAATACCACAACAGGGTCAAAAAAGATAGAATATGCCAATTGCCTTCAAAAGTCAGGTAAGCAAAATAAGTAAATTTTCAACCCCACTAAAGGCTTCTTTCTCATCATGTAGTTAATAACAAAATATATACTACATTAATTGCTCTGTTTCCATGTCACTTCTCGCGTGTGTTTGGTTGTGGGATGTAGTTTGTGGACTGAGACAAAGTTATCGCAGATTCTTCCTATTGTAAAGATATGCAGTGTGAACCACCCTGTTGCCGATCCATACTGCAGTGTAAACACAGCACTGACAGAACGCTACCCCAGATAATCATGCAGTGTGAAAACGTGACATGACTATTTTGAAAATCATGATGTCTAAACTAGGCATAAGTTAGTTTAGCAACCCTTTTGTATTTTTATAATTGAAAGTATCAGGTACATATCAGCCAGATCTCAAATAACTACTTTGCATACTGCGAGTTAAGGTGCTAATTCTTACAAACTCATATGGTTTAATTTGTTCAAAATGTAACATTTTTAAAAGGAAGCCCAAACCACTCCCTTAAACCCAACTGTTATTGCAAAATATACACACAAAAAAAGTTACTTTTGCCACTAGCTCGAATAATTGTAAAAGATTTCCTCCAGTGCAAAAGCTCTTTGGAACCAAAATCATTTCTAGTAAGAATTTTGCAAGCACACCAAAAAGCATGTCTATTAGCCAATAGTTCTAGGAACTATGAAAATGTTTATCTTGTGCAAAAACCTCTATTGTTGCTAGATAAAATGACATTTTTCAGTAGAATTTACTTTGAATGTAAAAATTTATTTATTAAATTATAAATTAAGATGATGTTTGTCTTTCATCTAAACACAAGCCCTGTTTTGGGGTCCATAAACCTGCCAATCTTTAATAAATAAATACAGTAGACATATGTAATTAACAACAATATTTTTGACATCTGTAGTACAAAGAAGCATTTTATGCTATATTAATGTCTGATCAACTGCTAACTGAAAAGGCTTGCAACATACCAGCGTCAGATAAAGAGACGTTTACAGTGTAATTTTCCTGCCAGAGCATTATCATACATCTACAGCAGCAGTTTGTTTTCAGAAGAGAATGTTCCAGAGACGGAGCGGAAATATTGCTGGACCATCAGTGCTGCGTCGGCATAAGAGCTCACATTTCTGCCTTATAGCTTCTACAGAGCATTAATACTTCACAAAGGGAAAAGACACCAGCAGAGTGTTTGTATATATTTAGGTAAAAACTTTTTGATAATGATATTCAAATGCATCATAAAACAAGATTTGTTTTGGCTGCTCTTTTTTCAAACATTCCTGACTAACCAACTTGACGGGCAACATCGAACACAAAGACCAATTAGTCAGGATAAACACGTCTGGCAAGTTGTTAAAACTCATACCTGACATTACTTTTTGTTTGTGAAAATGCTCATGTACACAAGGCAGCTAAATTTAGTTGTCTTATCTTTTGGGCCAAGCTTCTATCTGATATTAACTGATCACAAATGGCCAGAAAAAAAACCCAACCTACCTGGCATTAACATGTTTTCAAATGAGACTCCACTCTTTCAGATTTTCTTTAAGATCTGCCTTATTTTGATACCCTCTACATTGTGTTTACATGACCGATATACTCAATGTGACGGCTATTAACAAATAAACGCACAAACTCGTGTTAAAAGGCTTATTTTAAACGCAAGAGAGTAAAAAGGATGTGTATGTCAACTATGGTTTTGATTATAACCAGTGTTTTTTGGTCAAATGCAATGAAGTATGAATACCTTGTTAGTGCACCAAACTCATCAGTTGGAGGACGGAAGTGTGATGGAAATTTTTAATATTGACGATCATATACTGATGTTATATATTGATTTAGGTTTTGCAAAAGTAAAGATCAAATGCATTAGAATCATTGGGCTATCACAGCCATGTGTAACCTACTGGTTGTTTAAGAGATAAAGAGCTGTAGAGAAATTCATATCTAAAACATTGTCTGTAAAAATGTCTGTGAGCCCATGGTTTGGGATCCTTTTGCTCACAATGGCTGTCTGTGTGTAAACTGATCATTCTCTGGAGAATTAAAGCAATTAAAAGAAAAACTGTCTGACTTTAATAAATGTAAGTCTTCACATTAAAATGTATTCCTTGAGAACAGGAAGAAAAAAAGACGTGTGTGCCATGATAACAGATGGAATGTTGACGTAGAACTGCTGACTGAATGCTAACGATTGATAGAGCAGGACTAAATCATCTATGACACCTTTTTAAAAAAAAAACAATTTTGCAGGCAAAGGAAAGAGGTAAATGTGATTAATGATATCTTTTCCAAACTTTACAATACTTTGCATTCGCCCAATTAAGACTCACTTATATTATTGGTAATTCCTATTTTGCTGAGTGGATTGGATGCCAATTTGAAATAGGCTGATTTATTTCCCCAAAATGGCATTCTAACAACTAAAATTGCTCCCAATTCTTGTGGTGCAAACATGCAAAAAGTGGTGAATTTTGTCACTATTTGAAGAAGATTTCCTCATTTGTTAAATCCCCTTCTTTAAAATCATTCTAAGTTACAATGAGGTAGTACACCAAAAAGCATGTCCTTCAGGCAGTAGTTCTAAGAACTATGACAAAGTTGCTCTTGTGCAAAGATCTATTGCTGCCAGATCTGGTTTAAAAAAAGCAAAAAACAACAACAACAAAAAATGACATTGTGACAAGCAAGACAAAAATATTAGTTATACTAAGAATTGTAAGTGTTCAACTTGTTGTCATTGTAAGTGTTCCTTTGGTGCAAAAAGCTCTTATAAATAAATTATTCCTAGTTGCAATTTTGCAAACACACCAAAAGGCATGTCCTTCAGCCAATAATTCTAGGAACTATGAAATGTTTTCTTGTGCAAAAACCTCTATGGCTGCCAGATCTAGTTTAAAAACAGCAAATAAAAACAATAAACTCTTGGGATGCAAACAAGACAAAAAGAAGATTGCTTTGCCGTTCTATCTGAACTATGAAAGAGTTCCTCTGGTGCAAAAACCTTTTATGAATAAAAACATTCCTAGTAAAAATTGTGAGAACACCAAAATGTATGTCCTTTAGCCAATAAGTAGGAACTATGAAAAAGTTTCTCTTATGCAAAAAACTGTTGTTGCCACATCTACTTTAAAAACAGCAAATAAAAAACAAATCGGCATTCTTAAATTTAAAAGTGTTGCTAATTTCGACAGTGCAAACAAGACAAAAAGCAGATAATTTTGCCATTAATTCTAAGAACTGGTAAAGAGTTCCTCTGGTGCAAAAGCTCCTTATAAACAAAATCATTCCTAGTTACAATTTTGTAAGCGCAACAAAATGCAAGTTCTTTAGCCAATAGTTCTAGGAACTATGTAAAATTTCTTCTTGGGAAAAAAGACTATTGTTTCTTGTTTAAAAACAGCAAATAACAAAAAAAAAAAAAAAAATGGCATTCCTATATCTAAAAATGTTCCAAAGTCAAAAAGCAGATAGTTTTGACATGAACTCTAAAAATGGTGAAAGAGTTCCTCTGGTGCAAAGGCACTTTATAACTAAAACTAGGGCGGCACATTATATCATTACAGCATCGATAATGCAATGTGCGAATCCACATTAGTCACATCGCAGGATTTGCAGTTTCGAGTCTTCATTATAGTAGACCAGAAGCCACAATTCAGAACACATGAGATTTGTGGAGTCACTGCAGAGTTTAACAATAGAGTGGAAGCTTATTGTTTGCCTTTGTGGTCTATGACCATACGAGGATTTTAAAAAACATACAAATCACAAGAAATTGTACACTTAGCAACTTAAAGTATTATTTGCAGTATTATTTGACATTTTATTATTCAATTACTGTACCTTAATACAGTTTTCACTTCTCAGAAAACCATAAAACATTGTATATTTCATTTGTATCTTTTGCTCTATTTGTGTTTATGAATGCTTGTAGTTTGTTTATTATATTTTATCAAGATGCAATGGCATGAATCCTCCCAAATCAATCTAAAATGATAAATTCTTTCCAAATAGAGAATTTCAAGTTATCTGACAAAATTATATTCATACTGCAGAAAAACTAAATAATCACAATGTTAGATTTGTCCAATTTCAATTGCACTAATACCATTCCTAGTTGTATAAACACAACAAAAAGCCTGACAATTAGCCAACAGTTCTAGTAGGAAGTATGAAAATGTCCTCTTGTGCAAAAACCCCTATTAGTGCTGCCAACAACTTAAAAAAAGGGCTATTAAGTATATCCAAACCAGCACCCTGTAACTTTATTAACTCCATAAACTGGACTACTTATGACCAAGTCAGTTTTGCAATTTATTAAAAATGCACATGGCAACACTTCAAGAGTGAAGCAACCTTCCAAAAATAAACAAAGCGCCTCTGTTAGGTAATGTCTTGGACCATAAAAAAGTTCCTGTAACATTACTTTGGTCAAAAACAGTGGAGATTCCAGAACAATGTTGTGGTAAGCATAAAATCAGTCATCATAATACTGAAGGTAAAAGAAATGCCACAGAAGTATTTACTTGAGTATTTTAGTGCAGTTGTCATTCAACAAGGATAAAAGTGTTACTGAATAAAAATGACTAATTTACATTATGCGTCAACAATACCATTCAGAGTTACATTAAAAAAACAAGGATCACATTTAGAACTCTCTGCTATTAAAGTTTAGCTGGAAGTCAATCATTTATTCTTATTTACGGCCACATAAAAACACATTCGAGACAAGACCCACTACTGAGCACGCTATTATACTGACATTAAAATAGGTCTAAGCAATCTTTCAAGAACAATGTGATACCCATTTATTGTCTTGTGACTTTCATAAAACACTGCTGGATATTTCTTATCACAAATGCAAGCACATGTACGGGCTAAAAAGAGGTCAGTGTGGTTTGTTACAGTAATACTACCCTCTCCAGCTGACAACTTAAATTTTTGATAAGCCTGAGCAGACATACTATACATCAGGCAGAGCAACCTTACAAATGATCATAAAAAGGAAAAGTTTGGTTTAAAACATGCCCACAATGGTTCGGATATTACCAGGCCTGAAGTGACAGCACTACTGGTATAAATATCCCATAAAAAAAATAAGTCAAGCAGAATTTCTAAATGTTTCCCCTGTGACATTCCATAAAAAAGGACATCGTGAGAGAGAAAGTCTGTTAATAAGTACACTGCGATCACACACTCGGGTATAAGATTAAACAAAGAGTCGGGAAGTGACGGTCTTACTGTGTAATGGTGTTTTGTACGCTCTTCTCGTTTAGGGTCATTCCAGGGGGTGGATCATTCTGCAAGGCTAGCAGCTCCTTCTGTAACCTTTTCTGTTGGGAAATGGAGAGAGAGACTATTGAACATAGAAAAAGGGAAATAAAAGGGAGAAAAAAATAGGGGAAAAAATACTGAATTCTATTGAGACTAAATTTATGCTGTAGGGCAGAAAATATCTTTGATTAAAGTGATAGATTCTTATTATTAACAATTAAATAATATTATTATTGAAAGTATTATACATTCTGCAAAGTAATACTTCTAGTAAACATACAGATATATAGTTTGTGTCTGCATTATATATATATATATATATATATATATATATATATATATATATATATATATATATATATATATATATATATATATATATATATATAAGGATAAAAAAAATAAATAAAATCATGTAGAAACAATTTTCTGCCAGGTCTACCAAAACAAAATAAAAAATCACCAAGTAAAATGAATGAATAAATAGAACGTGGTTATTATACTATATTTCAAATATACATATTATCTATAAATTTTAATTGAGAGCTGTTATCAGCAAACATTGCTATATTTTTATTTAATCCAAAACTTAAAACAGCGAGTATAATTAACGTTACAAATCAAGTTAAAAGAAAACAACTTCAGATATCCTGTACTATCATAAATAACCTTGCAAGACTGCATAAAAATAATCAAACATTCTAATATCATGATATCAAGCAATTCACAAACTAAATTAACGATACTTCTATTAATTAAAACCACGTTAATTCTCCCATTAGGTCGCCTGCGTTTGCGGAAAAGCAGTAGTTTATGTGCGTCCTGTTCGCCAGCTGTTGCTTTTAAAGCACCGATAATTCTCACCCTGACAGATCAGGAGCAGCGAGGAGGACAAGTTATGAATTCAGAACTGATAAAGCAATATTCGACCCCCTTTAACGGCGTATCCGACAAACAGCATTTACATGAGCAGAAACGACAGACCCAACACCTGATCAAGGAGTGATTGATAGATTAAACAGAACTGGATGTCAGCTGTGATCTTACCTGCATCGACGCCATGATGGATCCCCCTGCATCAGTGGCGCACAGTAACGCAGGGCGACTGACGTCAGCGTCACGTGACACACGAGCTCTTTTGTGCTCTCATAATAATACACAAATTTACCCCCAGTCCACTTGTATGACTGTTCATTAATCGCAGTTATACTAAGTAATTGATTTCTGTTAATTTATTACCACAGAATAAAATAAGATATACATTTTGTGTTTTAATAAAAAAAGTCATTAAAAGATGAATCCAAAGAATATTGATAAACTCTGGGAGTCCTGGAAGAACACTTTCTCTGCCAATCCAGATGACTTTGTTAATAAGTTATTTGAGTCACTGCAGTGATGTGTGGATGTAGTCCTGCAAGCTCATGGGAGTCTTTCAAAATATTAATTATTTTTCCACTGCACCATGACTTTATATTCTATACTGTACATTATTTATGTTAAGTGACGAGACTTTGGTCTAAGCAAAGTCAGACCTTACTGTCCTAAATAAATCATTACAAATCAAGACATGATCATATTTTATTTTGGTAAAATAAGTGTTATCTAGAGACCTTTACCTTTCATAAGCAACTTCTAATACCAAATGATTAACTAGAAGTCAAGTTATTTTTTGTTGTTCCTAAAACTTGGATAGGTGACAAGACATTTGTCAGGTAGTGTATCTATTGCATTATTTTGTCTTAAAAAAGCAATTTGAGTTTGCAATGACTTTCATCACAAATAGCTTGTTATTTTCAACTTTTAAAAAAATATTATGATAAATACAATAATTGAATATCTTTTTAAAAATTATTTTCATCAATCAGTACAACTAAGACTTACACTTGGTTCTTGGAAAACAGTTCAAATGTTCATTATTTTTGCTGTAAACAAAGTAACTCAAAACACAAAGATGTATGTGTGACAGTTATATATTTGGTTTATTCATATTTCTTTAAGACTTTCACAATTGTCCTGGTAGCATGTGTGCTATCAAATACAAAACGATTGTTAAAACAACATACAAAACATATATTATCTAGTCATTTCAAAGCACACAATACCAAATAAACAAACTAATAAAACAGAATAAAGAGCAAAACAGTTATAAATACACACTCAATACAAAATCATAGGAACATAAGGTGAACAGATTAAATTGAAGTCACAGTCAAATAACACACACTCCATTCCTGTTTAGCAGTCTAGGAAGTTTGCAGCCATGAGCAGTTCCAGGGCAATCTCAGGAGCAATGGGGAATTCTGGGATTTCTGTTGAGCTGTTGGTGTAGCGCACTTTATAGGTAAAATACATGCAAACTTTGGAGAGGACATGAGACGGGATCTCTCGGAAGTTCACCTCATTGGTTTCATTTTCAGCAAACTGACCTTGAAGAAAAACAAAATGTTAGAGTTTCTTTCTTGGATGGAAGAACTTGAACATAAACAAATCTCGCTCTGCCCAATATAGCCAATCACATTTTCCAGCAAAGCCATTTGTGTTGAAACCGGGAATGTTCTTCAAACATGGATTACTGGTTTTGATTGTTGGTGATTTGACATGATCGAGGATTTCTTGTTTTTTCAAAACTCATTCAGAGGCTTGTGCACAAAGCTGCTTTGATTTTTTTTTTACGCAGGTAAGTTCATGAGTAATGTTTACTAGCAAACTCTGAGGGCTCTACCATACACCTGATGCAATAAGGAGCAAGATGTGTTTGCCGCGACTAATTTCCAATCAGTGCAACAAAATTTTTTTTTACGGTTTGCACCACGTTGCTTAAATAGCATTCATTTGCACCACTTTGTAGACTTGTGTGTTCCGGTCTAAAAAGGAGGCATGTTAAAGCGCATTGTTGACGCGTTGCTGTTTTGAATAACTGAAATAGACTACACCATTAACCAACTAAAAGCTGGTCTAAAGTCCTTACAGTACTTACACACTGCATGATCTTTACATATGAAAAATATGAAAATTTTCATTTTTCTACATAAATGTAAAAAATATTTCTTCTAACTTCTATTTTCTTTATCTCAGGGGGCTTTTTCATCTTATTCATGATTATTAGCATTTTATAATGTTATCATTATTAGCAGTATTATTTATTATATGCATATTAATATTTGTTTTGAGTTCAGATTTGTCCACCTGTCAGGTTTTGAAGACATCTGCATCACCATATGGGGCATAAGAATAGGACGTGCGTTTGGACATAACTGTGTTTTTTAGCACGCTTCGTTAATATTGATCATTTATTCATTTGCTGGAATTTAGAACTGAATTTACAAATACTTTTGAAACAACTCTTTGTCCTTAACAAACTAAATTAAACATGTAGGCTAATGAATGTCTTCAGTGGAGTGTGCTTCCTTAAAGTAGTAAAGAGTAGTAATGAGAAGTAAAGAGTAAAAGTAAAAAGAAAGTAAAGAGGCCGAATGGAGCGTTCTCGCACTACATATGGCCTGTTTAACTGTTTTCTCGCTAGTGAAGCATTCAGTTTTTCAACCTACAAAGTCCGCCATGTGAATAGCAAATGCACCATGGCACGACGCAACTAATTATTAAAGGGAATGGGAGACTCTGATTGGTTTAATGCACGTTATGCTCAAAACCCATAACTCATCAAGAGAATAAGCACAACCCTGTTAGACCATGCGCCATGGCGCAAACTGCATTTTTCCATCCTTAAAATAGCATAAGTGATTTCAGATACACCCTTAATGTTTTTGCTCCATTCGATTTAGACTTTGCGCATAGATCATTAAAAATAGAGCCCTTTGTTTTCAGTCTCAGTATGGTGGGTTGTTTATGACCTGATTTTGTCGCCCTGGTAGCTTAACCTCCAGAGCAGTTTTTACTCTGGTTTAGAGTTTGTGAACCTCAACTGGACCAATCAGTTGTAAGTAAAGTGACTCATGCATAAATGGAACAAAGCCACTTCCTGTCCCAGTAAAAAAAATTAAAATTATTGCTCCAAATTAAAACCATTTATACTACAATAAATGTTGTACAATATATGATATATTATATACAACAATTTAAATTCTATAAATATTATATTATATTATATTATATTATATTATATTATATTATATTATATTATATTATATTATATTATATTATATTATATTTATATTATATTATACAAATGATAATTATTTAGACTATCAAATATTCAAATAGCTTTAATAATGAATGGCTCATTACATTTAAATTATTATACATTAAATTATTTTAATTTAAATTAAAATGTATATATAAATATTCACATATACACTTTTCAAATTTATCAGCCCTCCGATGAATTATATTCTTTTAAATATATTTCCCAAGAGCGGTATAAAATGAGAGTTTTTTTTTTCCCCCAACACATTTTAAAAATAATAGTTTTAAAAGAAGAAATCACTTTCTTCAGAAAAAAAAAATCTATATGAAATAATGTGAAAATGTCCTGACCTGTTAAACAGCACCTAATATTTCCATATTTAATATGAAAAAGAACACAAATTTAGCACATGGACTAATCATTGTGACATTAATTGTATGTTTACTTTAATATATAAAGCTTTTAAAATGTCTTTTGAGCTGTTGGTGAAACTCTATTATTCAAATCAGTTGATTGACTTGAATTAAGATAATAAAATTTGCTTTAATATGTCTGCTCAAACAACAACAGTGTTTATTTCTGCCCTGTGAATGCATTTACAATCATTATATTTCTAATAATCATGCATTTGTTAATCTTCAGCAGAGAACTGAATCAAACTGTTGCTCTCATCTGACACATTCAGGGGCACATGCTCCAGAGTTAATCACAAACTCTGGGTTAAACCCCGAGTTAACAGAGAAAGTTTTTTTCAAGCATTGTAATGTGAAACCACTTAACCTGATCTTAACCAGTTTTAATTTGTTTGGCTTCATCAACTCAATACTTACTTTGCAAGTAACTTATTCAAGTTGTATTGTGCCACAGGCCTCTAGGATGTAATGTATTTTGTATTTATTGCCATGTATTTATTTACAAAGGCTATTTTCATGGCAAGAACATTTCCATAATAAATAAACAATTAAGAACAACAAACAAATGAATACACAAGTTAAATAAGATTTTTAGTATTAATTAAAGATAAGAATTCTAAAATCTTTTCTGGTGTCACTTTGCTAAAAATGTCCTTAAGAGTGTTCATTTCACAAAAAAGTCTTCTGGAATCATTAAAATCAGGAGAGTCCAGTAAAATGTGTTTTACAGTAAGGGGAGTTGTGCAGAACAGATCATTTAACAAAAATGAAAAGATTCAGCATCTGTCAAATCATCTCAGATATTTTAGGTGAGGTAGAAAGAATGAACTCCTGAACTGAAACCATGAACAGTAAATGAACAAAAACAAAATCAGAATTCTGTGGAACTGAATGTGCCTTCTGAACTAAACCTGCTTCACACTGATGAAACTGCCTGTTTTCAGCATAAAACTGCATTGATACAGTATTTGCAATTTATGAAGCGCTATGCAAAAAAACATACCTGGACTTGCTTGATAACAGTGAGATTTTAAAGCATAACTGATACTCACCAGGTCCACTCAACATAGCCTTGATGGTGCCAGAGGTTAAAGCATGCTCTCTTTTCACAATAAATTCGTGGCCATCTGAGGAGATCAGCTTCACATACATGGCATCTGGCCCCTCACAACCACCATAATTCCTCTCTTCAACATCTGCTGGAAAATGGTATTTGAACACTTTACCCTCAAAATGCATTTGGGTTTTCAAATAAACTGTATTGTTTTTCTTAATACACATTACTATTTTAAGACACATCTTTTTTTTAAACGTTAGACATTTTGTTATGACTCTATTAGAACCAATGTTAAGAAAACCACATGTATTTAAATTTTTTATTGAAATATGAATGATGCTATATTTAAATGTTGAAAAAACCTGAAAAAAATACACTTTTGTGTGTGTGTGTTCCCGTCAGGCATGGGCCAGTATAAGATTCTGACGGTATGTTGACCTTGGATAAAAATATCATGGTTTCAAGGTTTTAGGGTATTGGGATTATTGCTTTAAAATATATTATTTTTAAATGTCAGTGTAAAAAAACAAAACCCTTTTTCCACTTTGAACACAATATATTTTATTTTAAAAAACATTTAAAGTATTTTGGAGCACTAAACATGTCAGGCTAAATAATTCGAATTCGAGTCATTGACCTCTGCTGCCTTCATTAGCTTCAAAATCACAGACTTCATTGCAATTTAAAATGGCATTTTGGATATTTTTTTCTGCCGGAAATACTGTTGTCATGAAAAAGAAGAAAAAAAGCATAAATAAAATTACATGTACTGTAGGAACGGTAGAGCAGAACATGTTGGCGGTTTTAAAACCTTGACTTTTACAAACCGCGGTAGACCTTGAAAACGGTTATTGTTCCATGTCTAGTGCCCTTTTCATCTTCAAGTGAACATTTTAATGAATAAACACATTTTAATGAATAAAGATGGTGCAATGATAAAATAAGTGTAATACCATGGTAAAACCATGACCGCATATAAAGATTTTGGTATAGTTATATATGACATATGGTTTTAGTTGAAAAACATTAAGTTTTGTCTTTATTTGTAAACCAAAAGCGTGTTAGTGTGGAGCGTGGAGTTGGTGCAGGAATGCACAAATCATATGAGATCAGTGATTAATTCTGAGCCGATGAAAACAATGGCTTATTTGCAATCAACAAACTAAAATATCCCAAAGAAATGAGGGATAAAATGAATACAAACCCATTGTTTCTCAGCCACTGTATTATTACACCTGCAAAAAAAAAAAAAACAGAATAAAGCATTAGGATATTTTTTGATGGTGTATTGCACAAGAAAACAGATAAATCATTTTGAGTCAGCAAATGAGAAGGGAAGAAAGGTTGCGTCAGAAAAAAAAAAACTAAAACTCTGAGAAAGTAAGGAGACACACTTACTCGAGCAGCTAACAGGTAACGTTAAATCATTACTAAAACACGATGTCTTCCTAAAAACCGGATCGTTGCTGTGTTTAGACTAATCTGCACTTAGTCCTTTCATATCTGTTACTTAAAACCCGTGTCATAAAAGCAGACTGTCGCTGTAATAGAAAACAAATCTTATACAATCTTGAATCAACTAGCATATCTCGCTAAGTATAATTATTTATTTTCGTAATGTGTCTTTTAATCATATATCCACATATATTATGAGGATAACGTATGTAAAACAGTCGCACTTACCACGAATTTAAAACAACAAAACAACTTTCGATACTCAGACAGGCACTGGATATAACTGATTATTTCCGGTTAAAAAATGTGTGTCTTATAAATAAAAGTCCTCTTTTTACTGACGTATATAATACATTTAAAATTACAAACACGAATGTTTAATTTCACTGATCATTAAAAATGTATTAAGAATATTTCCTGAAGCTATATGGCTGGCTACACGATAACGTTATAACAATTAATTATTATTATGTTTTGCTTGTTTTGAAACAAACACATGCCATCAAATATTTTCTTAAAATCATAAATGCATATGTCTTTTAGAAAAGTGAACGATCAACTAACATATCTAAATAAATATATAGGTCTAAAAAATCATTTAATCTCATAATTTAATAATGTTTTAGTAATGTAATTTAATCTCATAATGTTTACAATGTTGTATGCACTGTCTGCTTCCATCGTCATTCTATCATCAATGGGGCAAACAATTATAAAATAACTGTGTAACTGCAGTAATTTTGGAATTTTCTGTGTGTTTTGATGTTTATCATTTAATGTTTTGTCATTAATTGATTATCTTTAAACTAATTCTTAATTATCATTTTCTTTTACATGGTGTATTTAAGACAGGATATTTCTGAAATGCATTGTAGCTACTTTATGTTCAATGGGTAAAATGGGGTATATATATTTTTTCTTTTTTATATGACAAAATCTTATTATTTTTACTCAACACTTTTTATACTGTCATTTCATCTGAATATAATTTGTCATAATATCAAAAATGTCATTTATTAATGTCTCTATGGTGATCCCTGACACTGTATTATCTTGATCAATTTTAAAATTATCTTTTTAATTTTGAAAATTAGGTCATTATTAAAGTTATATTGTGATGATTTTTTACATTTCAGATGTCTATAAATGATTAAATTATCCACTTCTACAATTTCCAATAAAATCTCTTTGTTTAACTGCAGAGTTCATTTTTTAAAATTAATGTTGTCAGAGCAGAGCACCAGGTCTCATAAAGCAATTTGAAAGTGTACATAAACAGAAAACATTGTTGCGACAACTATAAATTGTCAAATTTGTTTACAGTATTTTACAGGCTGGCAAATGAGCAAATAGGGCTATGAATGAATTGGCTTTAAGCGCAACTCCACCAAACCAATGAAATCAACTCAACTCAGTGCAACCAAAATGGATTAATTTCACTGATCTCTATACTATTGTATGAGTGATTTGGGGTTTGGGAATTGGGGCCTCAAGCATCAAACCACCTCATAGTCACAATACATGAAGAACAAAGAAAACACTGTTTTATACACTGGAAGCTATCTATAAATATGTATATAAATGTAGCACATTTATCGAGCTATATCTAGATTGTAATGTAGGTTCTCTGAACTAAAATATATAGTTTTTAGCTGTTTCATCTAAACATCTGTAATAAATATTATCTGTAAAAAATGCATCCACATTTGGTTATTTGCATCCACATTTGTTTATATATATATATATATATATATATATATATATATATATATATATATATATATATATATATATATATATATATTCTGATATATTATATACAGAATATATTATATATATTCTGACTGAAGAGAGCATGGTTATTACCTGAAAAATTCAGCATATCCAACAAAATAAGAGAGATACATTTTAAGATCTTGCATTATGTATATTCTACAAATTCCCATGATTTAAATTTGTCTATAGAAGATATATTTCTGTATTTCTCAGGTAATGATCATGCTCTCGATCTTATTGTAAATTTTTTTTGTGTTACACTGTAAATTTTTTATACTCAAAAATAAGTTCCTAAAAACAATAACTATATTTAATACTTAAATTTAGTAATTTAATATATAATTTCGTAAAATATTGAATCTCTTAAGTTTATTAATAATAAGAAGAATAATGAATTTCTTAAAGCTTATGATAATCTTTTTTCTTATTGATTAAGGCTTTATATAAAAAAATTCTCTCTCTTTGTGTTTGTTCTGTGGGAAAGCGTCGGTGTGTCACGTGAGCAGGCGAGTCTCGAGACCGTAAACAACATGGCGCGTCACGAACCAGGAGAGTCTTAAAAACAACTCAGGGAAGCAGCGGCGCTAAGCTTATTGAACGTACAGGTATATAAACTTAGTTTTTGCAAACACTATTTTCTGTTTTTTTAACGAGGTCTGCAGGAACAAACCAACGGGTAAAAGAGCTGTCAAAGCGCTGTTACCATTTAACTGGTGAGTGCCTCTCTTTTGTAGGTCGCTTACAGTGCTAGCGTGAGCGCTAACTTCTAAAGAATGAGCTGTTTTAAGTGCTGTTTTGATGTAATACGTAGACAATCTTATATCTTTCTTTTTTAAACTACTGGTCTGTAAATATAAAACCGTTATATGAAATGTTCGCAATATGTCATTTGCAGTTTTAGCCTGTCAATTTAGCATGCTCACCTGTCAAGTTACATCACAGTCTATTGTCAACAATTACTGTCCTGATTTTTAATCGCTTATTAAATGTCATAATTCAATGAAGTCAATTAAACAATATGATGTTAAAAACTGACTTAGGCCTACCTTTCAATTGATAAACTACATCAATGTTAGTTTGGTGGTATTCATTTTGCATTAATCAAACATATGTTTTTGAACAGACAAATACATATTTAAGCGGAAAATAACACTGTTTGCAATATATCATTTATTTTATGTGACCCTGGACCACAAAACCGTCAAAACAGTGTCGATTTTGCAATCGTCTGAAGTGTCAGTCATCAGAATCATAATATTTAAGTTTCCATTAATGTTTACTTTGTTAGGATCCTCAGGATCAACTATTTGAAAATCTGAGAGTTAAATTAGAAGAAGATCACATTCAAAGTCTAAATTAATTGCTCATCAATGTATATTACTAATCAAAAATTCAGTTTTTATTAATTTACAATAGAAATTTATGAAATATCTTAATGTAACTTCATTCTTATGTAATATCTAAATTATTTCTGGGATGAAACGAAAATGGCTATTAGCAAATATATATATATATATATATATATATATATATATATATATATATATATATATATATATATATATATATATAAGAAAGCTTCTCTAAAGTCCTGTTTTGTAAATGGTTGAACTTTTTTGGCACTCACTTAAGTGTACTGTGTACATATACACTACCATATCAAAGTTCACTTGGCAACATGTTTTTAATATTAATTTATTAATTAAAATAATTAAAAGTAAAATTACAGTATTTCAAATTAATTCCTGCTCTTTTGCAGTTTTAAAATGGCCTGACTAAAAACAATGTCACAGTTTCTCCGAATATATTAAGCAGCACAATTATTTTATCACCAAATGCTGCCCAGGACTGTTGCTGGAAGCTACTGGTCTATTGTAATTGTTGAAAGACACAGATGATTGGAACTCTTACTATTTAAGCACATAATATCATTTACAGTTATTTAAAAGACAGTGAGATGACGCAGTGGCGCGGTAGGTAGTGCTGTTGTCTCACAGCAAGAAGGTCACTGGGTCGCTGGTTCGATCCTCGGCTCAGCTGGCGTTTTTGTGTGGAGTTTGCATGTTCTCCCTGCGTTTGCGTGGATTTCCTCCGGGTGCTCCGGTTTCCCGCCACAGTCCAAAGACATGAGGTACAGGTGAATTGGGTAAGCTAAATTGTCCGTAGTGTATGAGTGTGTGTGTGTGTGAATGTGTGTGTGGAAGTTTCCCAGTGATGGGTTGCGGCTGGAAGGGCATCCGCTGCGTAAAAATCTGCTGGATAAGTTGGTGGTTCATTCCGCTGTGGCGACCCCGGATTAATAAAGGGACTAAGCCGACAAGAAAATGAATTAATGAAGCTGAGGTTCGAACCAGCGACCTGCTTGCTGTGAGGCGACAGCACTACCTTCTGCGCCACTGCCTCGCCTTGTTAAGAAATATATAAAACAATTTATTTTTTTATTATTGTATTATTAAATTTATTAAATTATTTAAAATATATATTAGTGATAGGGCAAATAAAAATCTTTTCCTGGGCAATAAAAAAAATCCTAAGCTTTTGGCTCTTTATGAATTTAAAATTTAACTCATAACGGTCTTAAAAATGTCTTAAAAATCTTACATTTAACTTGGTGAAACTTGAAGAAACTCTTTTATAGAATATCTTGCTTTTTCATCTTGAGTGTAATTGCCTGTATTGCTGTGGAATAAATCAATGATTTGGCAGACAATCAGTCTATGGGCTCTCAGTCCAGTTCTGGGATGTCCGGTCGGGGCTCTGGCAACAACCCAGACCAGTCAGAACCAGAAGCCAACCAGAACGCCAATCAGACGGGTCGTACACAGGCTGAGAGACAGTCAGGATCTGAAGAGGACGTTGACTTAGCACAAGTTCTGGCGTACTTACTGCGAAGGTAAATCTATAACCTTCTGAACCTATGAGATAGTGGAGATACTGTAAAACATCCTGGAACATATTGTAAACCTGCTTTGCATTTCCTCCACATGGGTAATGCAAATTGTTTTACCTTTTTGTCTACTCTAGGGGCCAGGTACGTCTGGTCCATGGAAGTGGAGCAACAGGCCTACAGCTTGTGCAGTCATATTCAGACTCTGATGAGGACAGTGATGGGGCTTGGGATGGGAGGTTAGGTCATCGATATGACCCTCCAGGTAAATAATGAACTGTGTGCATGATTAATTTATGCTTTTTTACTTAGTTGACACCCCAAGTTACAGTGCAGTGTTTAGAAATTATTATGCATTATTTATTTTATTTTACTTTATTTTATTAACATGGTATGATAAAACACAGGGTGTAGTAATATGCAAACATTATGCTTAGATGCGTTTTTGGTACAGCCAGGAGAAAAAAATCATATCTTTTTAATTATACTGGTTTACTAAATCAATTATGTTTTTGTCTTTATATGCATTCAATAATAAATACAGTTCTACGCAATGGTTTGAACTGCATACATTTATACTAAAAGTTAAAAATTAACAAGAGACTCACTTGCTCACTTTCCTTTGCTTTAGTTCCTGATTTATCAGGGGTTGCCACATTGTAATGAACCAACAATTACTGCGGCATATGTTTTATGCAGCAGATGGCCTTCCAGCTGCACCCCAGCACTGAGAGTACACTAACTCGTGAACCACTAGTGCTGGGAAACAACTGTTGAAATCAGATGCCAAAACTGTTGGAAGTCAGATGCTTTTTACTTAAATGCTTGACAAAAATGGAAAAAAATGTGAACTTATATTGCACATAAGAAGAATGCAAGGAGCATCAAAACAGCATTTTGAGATGAATTTTATCATAAACTGGACAGAATTTGAAAGATGAGATTTTTCAGATTGAGTTTTACACATTCAGTTTAAATCTGTACTGTATTTGTTCATAACATGTAAGAAACTGAAAGACCTTTACTGAAACTTTCAGGTAGAAATCAGTTATCTACTATAGTTGCTAAATACACATAAACTATTAAATAATAACTGACTGAAAAATAGCAGTTTTAGAAATTACTACTACATAAGTTTGTTGGGAAGATATCAGTAAGGAAATTCAAGGAAATGCCTAATATAGCCTCTTTGGCCTATAGTGCTGTGAAAACTATTGAATATACAGGTGTGTGGTCATTTACTATGCCTTATTTATTCTTGCTCAGTGGATGCTCAACCAGACACACAGGAGGTGGATCGCAGCGAGATCCACACTCAGATCCTACTGGCTACTGCTTCCTCTGGCTTAAAGGGCAGACACAGTTTCACACATATGCTGGCTGAGGCAAGTTGTGTCTATGTTTGTACTTATTTAATTAGTAAAAGAGTTCCTCAGTGTGGATAACGCTGACAGAAAATTAAGTTTCTATCACAGAATTTGGCAGATTTCAGATGAGGAATCAATAGTAGATCTGTACACCTAATCAACATAGACAATACTATGCAGGCTAAAGTGTGTGAGTATTAAACTGCAAGAATGAGACTGCATGTTTGGCATGTCTGTGCATGGTGTGGTTTTATATACTGCACATTCTTAGGTGTACCTGTGATATTTTTAGCATCTGACAATTTAATTGAGATGTTGCTCTGAAAGTCTCTTTACCAAAATGTCAGTGTTTTATTTTATTTTATTAAGATTTATTTATTTGAAGAGATTGTAATTGTTTCATACCTTTAGGTTTCCTAAAAAAGACTAGAAAGTTAAATAGAAAAATATTGTTAATAAAAAAAAAGTGCATTTGAGAAAAAGATTACATAGGTACTAGATAATTTTAATAACAATATAGAGTCTGAGCAGTTCATTGAGTTATCATACAGCAAGTTGTGTTTTTTTATTAGCTTTTTTTGTGATCACATAACCAGGAAATTTATGCCAAAGTAGCTATGATTTTTAAAAAAAGTTGCTCTATAAAATACACAATTGTGCAACTTTATATAAATTGTGCTTTTCTTTCTGAAGCGGGAACAGGGGCGATGTCGTGGGTCAAGTTTCTCTCATGGAGAGTGCAGCCGTATTCGTTCACAGTAAGTTATGATGCATGCAATGCAACATTGCAATATTTAAATATTTAAATGCTAGATAGATACTCACAGGTACACACAGGCTCAGCTGTCTAGTTTGTTGTTGCAATACAGTACATGTAATCATTCATATTTGTTTCTTCATAGTTTTTTGCCCAATCATGTGGTTTACAAGGACACTTATCAGCAGAAAGTATTTTGTGGAGTCTACAGTGATGAGGGAAATATGTTCCTGTCTGCATGCCAAGGTGAAACTGTAATTCAAGACTTCAAGTTAGCATAGCTGTTATTAGCTTAGTTCTTTCATAATCCACATAGCAGAAATGTTCAAATTGATAACCCATCCTTATTTAAGTCATTTAGTGCTAATGTTTAAGTTTTTTTACATTAATTTATGTACACTGTTGTTTAAAGGTGCCCTAGAATGAAAATCTGGATATAAGTAGGCAGAGTTCATTATATGGAAATGACATACTGTGAGCCTCAAACACCATTGCTTTTTGTTCTCATGTAAATCTCATGTCAGATGTAAAATCCCAGTAAAAAAGTGTACAGTCCCAGTGAAAATCCATGCATGGGATCATTAATATACACAGCTCATACAGCGTTTGATTGGCTAAAATGATTCCTAATTAGTTCACAACAATAATTCTTTCTCCTTATTCATATTTTTTCTAAATATTATACTTCCTGTGTATGTTCAACTTTTGTGCATCTGTGACTCTTATTTTAAAAATTAGACTCACATTTGAAAAGTCTGATGCAATCTCATCACAGCTCATTATCAGTAAAATGCAGGATATATGGATTATAAAGTTATGCAGCACCCCAAAAAGGCAAAAATTCTGTTTAACTGTATCTTTTGCTAGTTAAATGTGTACAATGTGAAATTTGACATCAAACGCATACAAAATTTAGTACAAAGGCTGGTTTATACTTTTGTGTTGAATGCACACGGATAGTCCGGCACAGTCTTTGCATACCCTTCTCCATGGCTGACCCAGACCCTGACCTTTTCAAAAAATTTAACTACACATTGCGACAATGCCGTGAGTTATGGCGATCACTGGACTCAGAAATGTAATTAATTATTTAATGCAAGTTTATGGTGTCATATCACTTAGCTCATATTGTGATTTTTCTGGGTGGAATGGATGCCACTAAACTTTAAAAACTCAGAAACCGCAAAACATTAAAACCACATAATACAACTCTAAATACATCTCTGTCTGATTTTTTGCTGAGTTTAATGATAATTTAGCCTACAATTATTCCACAGCATAACTTGGGGGCAAACTTATTTCATTCACTCACTCATTAAACAAGGAATCTACAAGGAATATAATAAATGAGCCTATATAACAATTTTTGGAGACTTTTCGCCCTTACCTAAGACACATATCTACTGTGTACATATCAGAGAGCATATTAAGTTACACTTAATTGCATTAAATGCAATTTATGGCACCTTTAAAGAAAATCATTGTTTAAATGGGTCAACTGGGTTAAGATGTTTATAATGTTATAAAATGTTTTATGTATATTTTATTTTATTTTATTGGGTTCATCATAAGAGACTTCTTATAATTTATTTCTTCTTAAGCTCCAGATGTTAAAGTAACAATGTATCGTAACAATATCCTCTTTTTTTCTGTCCTTGTTTTCATAGACCAGAATATCAGGTTATATGACACTAGTAGGGGTCGTTTTACTCTGAAGAAGACTGTGAAGGCCAGAGACGTGGGTTGGAGTATTCTGGATGTTTGTTTTACACCTGATGCACGATGTGTGCTGTATTCCAGTTGGTCAGACTACAGTAAGACAGGAACAGGTCACTTCACTTCAGATATTGTCTATATCAGTGTCAATGATTGTTCTAATGCACATCATCTGTCTGTGAATCCTCTCTTTAGTCCACGTGTGCAGTGTAGATGGGGACAATGAAACGCACACCGCTCTGGACCTCAAGTTAGTGTTTCCTCATAGTACATTATAGAATTTCTACTCAGGTAATCACATGTATGCTTCCTCTTCATGTGGATGATAGACAATAGAACAGATTTCCATAACCATTCATCACAACAATTATCACATGACTGCGCTAAACAAAACAGGACACACTGGCAAAGTAATAGGAATAATAGGAAGTTTGTTGTCAAGGTAATGGATACAATTTAATTGTTTTTGTTTCTGTTAACACTCAATAATGCAGCTCTCTCTATATAAATGGCTGATGTCTGCTCGCGGCAGGTGTTGACATGATTCTCTCTGTAAAAGGCAGAGAACTACATTATTTATAACTACAATAATAGGTGGAGTGAGCTTGTCTTAGCAATAATTTAAGAAAATTATTCATTTTAGACATACACAAGTTATATTATTTTAGATTTTACAAGTTGAATAATAAAAAACTAAAACTTTTTGCCAATTTCGATATTGCTCAGTTGCATACAGGACTAGCTAGATTTTATGTTTATTTCAATTATTTTTCTCATTTAACATTCAACTGTCCAACATTTTGGAGAGGCACAAGCTATGATAATAATGCAGCGATAAAGGATAAAAAAATAATATAGGTGGATGATTTTCCTTACCGCGTGACCGCTTATAAAATAGAATAGAATAGAATTGAAGAGTATCTTACTGAGGAAAAAAAATCACTGGTTCGTTTAAATGTGTGCAACCAGCATACAGAACATATTGAAAACGGAACCCGGACAGTTTCTGACTGCAGAAAAAAAGCAGAATAATATTAATAAAAAAAAATAATAATAATAATAATAATAATATAAAAATATTAAATAAAACTAGATAAATAATATAGGTATAAATAAATAAATAAAAATTGAATAAACTAAATAAATAGGCCTAGGCCTGTACTAAATATATTTCATGGGAATCGAAAAACACACTGAATCCTTCTCGAGCTTTGAAAAACCATTGGTTTTTTTTTTTCTTTTCTGTCAAATAAATTAGCAGGCTTACCACAAATTGTCTAGTTTTCAGTTAAATAAATTAGCATTTTTATGAGCTGTAGTCTGGAGCACAGCCTGTTGACAGTTAGGTTATTCATTTGTTTACTTTATTTATTTTATTTCCATAAAATAACTTGCCTAATTACAATACCTGCCTAGTTAACCTAATTAACCTAGTTAGGCCTTTACATTCTAGGCTGTTTTGAAGTGTCATAAAAAATTCCTTGTAAAATATAATTTACTGTCATCATGGAAAAGATAAAAGAAATGAGTTATTAGAAATGAATTATTAAAACTACTATGTTTAGAAATGTGTTGAAAAAATCTTCTCTCCGTTAAACACAAATTGGTTGGTGGGGAGTAAACTGGAGTAATAATTCAGGGAGGCTAATATATCTGACTTCAACTGTATTTATTCATTTCTTTTTTAAATAAGAAATTATAACATAATGTTAATGTACTATATACTGTATAAAAGAACAAAAATACAGAGAAAATTGTGGGGGAGTGAAAAGAAAAAAGAAACAAACAAACAAATAAAACAAACATTTACTATGGTTTACACAGAGTACTTTTGAATACATTTTCTACAAATTATCCGGAATTGACCTTGATGAAAAGACTAGTCATGAAATAATAAATCATTCAAAGGAATAGTAAGAGAACAATCTACTTTATAAATTTGTTTTGCCTCTAACACAACACTTAAGATTAACAACAACGGGCCTTATCATACACCCGGCGCAATGCGGCGCGACACAATAGTTATTTGCTAGTTTCAGCTTGGCGCAAAAGTCGTTTTGATGTTTTGCACCACGCTGTTTAAATAGCAAATGCATTTGTGCTCATATTTGCGTTCTGGTCTAAAAAAGAAGGCGTATTGAGGCACATTGCTGGCCCATTGCTATTTTGAGGAACTTAAATAGAAGGTTCAAATAGACCAGATCAAAGCTGGTGATCAATTTGCTTTTGTATAATGTTATTATTATTAGCAGTATTATTTATTATAAAAAAAAACAAGCTTAGATTTGCCCACCTGTTTTTAGACCATATGGGGCACAGCATGTGTATTTGGATATAACTCAGTTATTTGAACACACTTCGTTATTATTATTGTTCATTTATTCATTTGCTCGAAATTAGAACTGAATTTAGAAATAGTTTTGAAACAAAAATTTACTTAACAAGCAAAATTAATTATTTACAGGCTAATTGATGTCTGTACGTACAAGGTTTCCCTATCCATGAGAGCGAAAGTGAAAGTAGATAATGAGAAGGCCCTATCTCTTGTTTACTTGCTAGTGAAATGCTCAGTTTTTCCACTTACAAAGTCCACCATGTAAATAGGAAATGCGCTATGGCGCAATGCAACTGACTCTTAGGGAGAAGAATGGGAGATGAGACTCTGATTTGTTTATTCTCAAAACACACCCATAACTTATTAAGAAAATAAGCTTAACCTTTTTAGAACATGCGCTGCGGCGCAAAGTGGATTTTTCCATCCTTAAATTTGCAAAAGTGGATTCCGACACGCCCTAATAGATTTGCGCTTTGCACTTTGCACATGAATCGTCGAAATAGAGTCCAACGTTTTTGTGTTTCAATGAAAACAATTAATGAAAAATATTGACAAATGCACTTTTGTAATTTCTCCTCACTCAAAAGAACAGCAACCTTCCTATATTTGAATTGCCATTGTGTAACTAGCTGACTTTGCCAGCAGGTCTTCCTGCCTCTCTCATTAATTTCACATTCTCATTTTGACAACTCTGCACTGCATGGTATTTAGTACCCCTTGCTGTGATAATGAACTGTAACATTATGCTTTTAGAGGTTTGGTCTTGCTCTGTTCATCCCCAAGTAAGGTAGAGCTGAGTGAATGGAAATGAGTTTATCTGTCAATATAGCCTGTGTTTTGTATAAAAAATTACGGGTTTTTTTTGTATTTAATGAGTCTTTTTATCTTTCAGTCCTGATGAACGGAGGTTCTGTGTTTTCTCACTGGCAGCATCCACAGATGGAAAAGAAATCTTAGGCGGGTCAGTACCATACTGTGGTCACCATAGTTAGACATCTAACTACACAAATCATTTTTTAACCTAGTCTAGCATGTTTATGTCTGGAAATATTCTGTCTGTCTGTCTCTCTGTCTATCTATTTATTTAGTGGGGGTAGAATGGTACACATAAATAAGGATTTGGAACATACTTTGGCTTTTAATAAAGCAGAGGGAAAACAAAATACAATTTTTTGGGAGGGGTGGTGGGATTATTAAACAGTGGTTTACTAAACGTGTTTAATTTTTCTTCAAATAAATTAAATAATAATTAAATTAAAAAAATTTTATAGATAAAAAACTAAATAATACTGTAGACTAAATATGTGGCACTGTTACTGTACTGTTAAATATTACTGTAACATTAAAGGTCATGGTTTACAACAGCTTAAACTATTCAATTCAATGATCAATTATTTATTTTAACATATAATAACACTCAATTTGAATCTTAATAACTGGTTTTCATTAATCATGTACCGTTACACCTCTACCACATCTAAAAGATTCATGTGAGAATAGTGTTTGTTTAAAATGAGCTTATTTGTTAATGATGTGCTTTTCATTTTGATTAAACAGTGCAAACGATGGCTGCCTTTATGTGTTTGATCGAGAGCAAAACAAAAGAACACTAAAGGTATGGTAAAACTTTTTAATCCAAGGATATTTTATTATTTATTTTTGTATGTACTTTTATTTTAGTATGTATATAAAATTTTATATATATATATATATATATATATATATATATATATATATATATATATATATATATATATGTATATTTATCATTTTAGATAGGTAAATATTTTAATTTTAAATATGCAATATTTATTTATTTATGCAATATTTAATATACTTTTGGGCTTTTCATTGTTACTTGTTATTGTTATTTCTCAAACTCCACACTTGACCTAAAAAACACCCTTATGACAACCTGTTATAAATGTCAGACAATCTGTTGCACAACCTTTACAGTTCAATGTACTTATTAGTATCAATGCACCAAAGGTCTATTGCTCTGAAATAATTGTGATTTAGTGAGAACTCTATCAAGACATTGTCATCATCTATTCAATCACATTTTCTCTTCGTCTTTTAGATTGACGCTCACGAGGATGATGTGAACGCCGTGGCATTTGCAGACAGTTCATCGCAGCTGCTGTTCTCAGGCAGTGATGATGCTCTGTGTAAAGTGTGGGACAGACGAACACTCAGAGAGGACAGACCACAACCTGTGGGACATCTGGCTGGACACAGAGATGGAATCACCTTCATACACAGCAAGGTAGAATAGCAATCCATAGTCCATACTGATGTTATCGTTGTTAAGAAACTGATTTATAATGCATTAATAAAATTGCACAAATTTTTTTAGGGTTGCACATTATTGGAATAATCTGACATTGTTATTTTGTTTTGCTGTGATATATATTGCGACATGAATATAGTTTCAGGTTAGGATTTAGCTCTATTTGGAAATATTTCATTCATTTAGATCATGGGACTCAAGCTCAGTTGTTGGAGGGCTGCAGCTCAGCACATTTTTGCTCCAACCCTAATCAAACACAGCCAATCCAACTAATCAAGACTACTGTGGATTATTAAACAGGTGAGATTTGGAGGTGGTTGGAGCTAAACTATGCAGAGCTGCAGCCCTTCAGGAATTGATTTAGTCTTTTGATTTAGTATTTTTTTATGCAGTGCATCAGCATAAAATATAATAAATTACAAGCATATATAAATACGACAAAGCAAAATTAAAAATGTTTTCTGGGAAGTGTAACATTATTAAGTACAGAAATTGAACAATCAAGCGTAAAATAACATGATCATCTTCATCATCATTAGGAATTTTTAAAATAATATTAAAATATCTTTATATTTTAATCTTTAATAAACAATCTAATCCTGCGACGTGAATATTGTGGATACACGATATATTGTTCAGGGTTAATGCAATATGTGATTATAAAGCAAAATAATGCAATTTACAATATAATATTAAATAAAGAAAGAAATAATTATTGCCGTTTTAAAATGTCTGTTCTCTTTTATAGTATATTTTGAAAATATTTATTTGCAACATTTTAAGCAGCCGTCTCTCCAATCTTGCTGCACATTTCTTGTTCTATAGTAATAATATATACTGAAACCAGTTGCTGTATAATTGGATAAATGTCGTGCATGTGCAAGATATTTAATATAAACTGAACAAAAAAAAACTGAACAAAAAAGGAACATCAAATCATGAATCATAATTTTAAATATACTAAATGGATTAAACAACTTTATAGATTTTATTTCAGGGCTGTGTAGTTTTTTGTTTTCCTTTAATAATAAAAACCTTCATTTTTAATCTGCATAATGTGTTTGCTTGTGTTATATTTGACTAATATTTAAATTTGCTTGATGATATGAAACATTAAAGTGTGACTAACATGCAAAAAAAAAAGATATAAGTAAGGAGCGAACACCTTTCTATACCATTGTACATTCAAGACAAGACAGCAGTGCAGGCATTTGTATAAATACCTTATATGAAGTGTATATTTAAACTACATGCCAGAAACCCGTGGACACTCACTGTATAATTAGTGGGTTTGACTGTTCCTGTTACTATCAAGTGCGTAAAAAGAAATACACTTTTGGCCATGAAAAACACTGTAAATAGAATAGTTGAAGGGCCCCATTCAAAAAGAATGCCCAAGCATACTGCCGAGAGGTGTTTTAAAGATGGTCGCCGAGTGAAATGATTTACCTTAAAGCAAAGAGCTTAGAATCGCCAAGAGGCGACACTCAATAGAACGTTTCATTGCAACAGCAGTGCCCAGCAACAGCCCCGCAATTCCGCCATTTTGGAGTAAAAGCGATCGGCCGTCCCTTGGATCTTATTGCTGTCACGATGGCAAGCAGCTGCTTTGTTTTTTATTTATTTATTTAAAAAGCGTATTAAAGCTAAGATACAATCTGAAAGATGACAATAGTACACTTACTATCAAAATCCTCAGCACTTTTAATAGTTTATTTTACAGACTTATAATATGCTGTTGTTCTTTTGCAATTTTCATTCCAAAAATGGCTGCTGCGTGACACTAGCTGCATCTAGTGGCTGTTTTCTAAATCGCACTATGCTCTTTACTTAAAAGGACTTTGATAAAATCCTGCTAGATTTGACATCATGCTGCTTTGTTTACATTAACTATTACATTAACTAACTTTGTTAGCATTAACTAAGGCAACCTCTTTATTTCTCTTGTTCTATAAGGCGCCCCCTGCTGGAAGAGAGTCATTTAGCATTTTTTTTTCAGTATGGCTACTGTTTTAGTTTAGTGCAGGTATGTTTTATGTAGCATTGTTCAGTCTGCTTTAAACTACACACACTAATGTATGTCTGGATCATAATTAAAGTACAAATGTTGTTTCTAATTAATAATCACAGTTAGTCACAAACAAACTTTTATTTTCTGATATTTAAATTTTAAAAAAGAGAATCAGTGCAGAATCTTTAATCTGCTGTTGTAGTGTTGAGTTGTTTTAAATAGGAGTGAACTTTTTTTTTGTATACTAATTGTTTTTTTTTTCTCTTTTTACTCAGTATTTAGTAAATATAGTAGGGATGCTCCCGCCTGGATTTTTACAGCAGATACAGTGTACAGGTTCGAATGTTTCGAGCTTTATAATTTATTAAGCACATTTTCCCTCTAAATATGAACCTAAAGAGAAGATCTCCTATGATAATAAATATTGTTACGAAAAATTACAAACAATGCCATTTGGAAACATTGCATTTTGAAACTTATTATGTCTCAATCAAAAAAAAGTTTGTAGTGCATGTTTGAGACATAAAAAGTTAAAATGCACACCTATAAATGTAATACTTCGTTACTAAAAGGAAATAGGCCTACAAAGTACTCTTTTGCAATAAGTAAATTACAAGAAGTTATAGTATTAAATAGTCATGTTAAAAAAATGTATGTATATATATATATATATATATATATATATATATATATATATATATATATATATATATATATATATATATTATTTACCTAATAATTCCAACCAGCTTTCAGTGAACTTGTAATATTGTCAAAAACACAGAACTTTCAGTTGTTTTAGATACATTTAAGACCATTCCAATATTTTGCTCGTTTTCAACAATTGACAGCAGATCTCTCAGTGAGAGAGAGGAAGATTGCACTCGCAATATCTTTACTGCCCTATTCATTTGACCTAAGAAACGTAATGCTTAGAACATCAATGTGCCTGTCATGATCTTTCCCCTTGCTCATTCACTGTTGTCTTCATGATTTTTGGGTATTTTAACAAATTTTTAGAGATCACTGAGCCACTATGGAGGTCATAAAGTTGGATGAGAAACTATATGGGGCTATCGCTCCATTTATGTCAAGGGATTGGAACATGCCTAAAATATACTTTAAGTTAAAATGTCGCCAAGGTTATCAAAACTGATAACGAGGTCCTAAAATTGATTGAAAGAGTCTTAAAAAGGTCTTAATAGGTATTAAATTTAACTGTATGATTCCTGTATATACCCTGCATTATAACAGTCAAAATGTTGCCTCCTTTCAAGCACTTTTTACACATGGTTTGTATGCTTGTCCTGAAGGGTGATGCTCGGTACTTGATCAGCAACTCCAAAGATCAGACCATCAAGCTGTGGGATGTGAGGAAGTTTTCACCAAAAGAGGGACTTGCGGCTTCACGACTCGCTGTAACACAACAGAACTGGGACTATCGCTGGCAGCAGGTTCCCCAGAGAGGTCTGTCAGCACAACCAGAATATCCTGCTTTATTATCAACCTTTTTATTTTTATAGCACCTGTTTTGTTATTTTGTTATCCTGCAGCACTGAAGAGGCATAAGCTGACCGGCGACACCTCTGTAATGACCTACAGGGGTCATGGGGTTCTGCACACACTCATTCGCTGCCGATTCTCCCCTGAATTCAGCACTGGGCAGAAGTTTATTTACACAGGCTGTTCAACAGGCAAAATAGTCAGTAAGTGGAACATGAGTAAAAAAACTAATCTTTTAACTGGTGGCTTTTTTAAAACTTTCAATTTTATTAAAATCTGCTTAATGTCCGACCTTCTTTTTGTGTAGTCTATGATGTGTTGACGGGAAGCGTTGTGTGCAAATTGTCCAATCATGATGCTTGTGTGAGGGACGTCAGCTGGCACCCGTATAACAACAACATGGTCAGCAGTTCAGTAAGTGAAAATTATGTTTTATACTTACTTTTAAAGACCCTGAAACATGCTTATTTTGCAGATTAACATTTATAATAGCATTGATGCCATCTTATTTTATAGATAAAAAAAATAATAATAAATTTAATTTAATTTTGAGATTAGCAGTCGTTTGGTTTGAGTTAAAATGCAAATGTAAAGGTATAGCACCTTACTACTGTGGTAAGACTAAAGACTATTTAATTTAAATTCTAGAAATCCTCACTGTCTATAAAAAACAAGAATTTTTAAGGCATTGTTCATTTGTGCTCAAAACTTTTGGGAGTTCCCTTGCAAGTCTTGCATCCTATTAAGAGCAGCACGTGTTAAGGATGGCACATAAAATAATAGGAGATAGCACACACCCCTCAAACAAATATTTTGAGTGGATACCCCTTGGGCGATGTTTAAGGACAATAAGATCCGCAATAAGTTCCACAAACTGTTATAAGTTTTCTTTTACGCCCAAAGCAATTCATGTACGTATTACATGCAGTTGATCGATGGATTATTATTAGCATTTGATTTTATTATTACTTTTAAAATTAATCATAATTATTTTTATTATGAATTATATTTACTTTTTAAATAATAATTATTATTTATTTTTCAGTTTTTTTTTTTGTGTACTTAATGTGAAGTGTTGGTGTTTATTGTGTTAAGTGTGTCTTTTTTGTTATGTGAAGCACCACCATGTCTGAATGAATTGCACCAAGGGAATTAATAAAGCTTTAAACTAAACCAAACTAAATTGAAGGTGCTTTTGAGTCATTTTCCTTATTTTTATTAAACTTAGAATTTTATAAAACCTCTAACAGATTTGACAATAAACAAAGCGTTTTGATTTTCTGATACTTTGTGCTTAAGCTCAAGATGCTAAACTCAAACTGTTTAATCAAAGCATATCGAAGCATGAACATTCGGTCACTTTACTGTGAAGTTTGTGTCAAGCCTTTTTAGTCAACAAAATGAACACTAATATTGGTCAAATCTGACCCTGAACCCCAAAACCAGTCACAATGATCATTTTTTGGAAATGGAGATTTATAGATCATCCTAATAAATGAGCTTTCCACTGATGTGTGGTTTGTTAGAATGACAATTGATAGAACAATACTTGACTGATGTACAACTACATGAAAATTTGGAAACTGAGGGTTAAAAAAAATTTTTGCAATGCAAATTACTGATCAAAAATTATGTTTTAATATATTAAAGAAAAGAAATGCACAAAATCCCTTCATGGACAATGGGTTTTACTTAATATACTAACAATTATTCAAATCAATAAATTTGACAATGTCGGGATGCAGCCCTGTAAAGTCGTGGTTTGCAGTGAATTAATCAATGCTTTGTTGAGTACACTTACCAATAAGGTTGTATTAGTTAATGTTAGTTAATGCACTAACATGAACAAATGTTCAACAATACATTTATACTGTAACAGTATTTGATTATGTAAGTTAGTTAATGAAAATGCAGTTGTTCATTGTTAGTTTATTTTAACTCAATTAATGTTAACAAACATGAATTTGGATGATACTAATGCATTAGTAAATGTTGGACTCTGATGCCATAAAAATGGTATAAATGTTACCAAATATACTCACTGGCCACTTTATTAGGTACACATGTTAACATCAATTTCTAATCAGCCAATAACATGGCAGCACCTCAATGCATTTAGGCATGTAGACATGATTAAGACGATCTGCTGCAGTTCAAACCAAGCATCATTATGGGAAGAAAGGTGATTTAAGTGACTTTGAATGTGGCATGCTTGCTGGTGCCACACGGGCTGGTCTAAGTATTTCAGAAACTGAACTATCTTTAGGGTTTACAAAAAGAATTGTCAGAAAAAGAGAAAATATCCAGTGAGCGGCAGTTCTGTGGGTGCAAATGTCTTGTTGATGCCAGAGGTCAGAGGAGTATGGCCAGACTGGTTCGAGCTGATAGAAAGGCAACAGTAATTCAGATAACCACTCGTTACAACTGAGGTATGCAGAAGTGCATCTTTAAACACACAACACAACCAATGGTGCCACTCCTGTCAGCTAAGAACAGGAAACTGAGTCTACAATTCGCACAAGCTCACTACAATTGAACATTAGAGGATTGGAAAAACGTTGCCTGGTCTGATGAGTCTCGATTTCTGCTGCTACATTCGGATCCATCGATCCATCCTGCCTTGTACCAACAGTTTCAGGCGGATGGTGGTGGTGTAATGGTGTGGGGTATATTTTCTTGGCACACTTTCTGCCCGTAATATTTCCAGTACCTTGTTGAATCTATCCCATAAAGAGTTAAGGCAGTTCTTAAGGCAAAAGGAGGTCCAACCCGGTACTAGTAAGGTGAACCTAATAAAGTGGCCAGTAAGTGTACATTGACTAACGAAACCTTATTGTAAAGTGTGACCCTTTATTCTATTTTTCATATGTCCACCATTATACCATGGTTAGAATTACATTAGTAATACCACCACAGTACATCTATGTTGTATGTTGGTCTGTGTTAATTTCGTCAACAAGATTTTACTATAGCTTGACACAAAAAAGAAGGTCCTCTGACACTAGTAAAGTGACTGAAAAGCTATGAATGCCTTCAAAGACCATGCTTTTCATTTAATATACGAATTATTAATTCATTTATTTTTTTACTTCGACTTGGTTTCTTTATTTATCAGGGGTTGCCACAGCGGAATGAACCACCAACTTATCCTGCATATGTTTTACACAACGGATGCCCTTCCAGCTGCAACCTAGTACTGGCAAAGACCTATATACTCACGCATTCTCACTCGTATACTATGGACAGTTTTGTTTACTCAATTCCCCTATAGCGCATGTCTTTGGACTCGAGGGGAAAATGTAGCACCCGGAAATCCACATGAACATGGGTGGAACATGCAAACTCCACACTGAAATGTCAGCTGACCTAGCCAGGGCTTAAACCATCGACCTACTTGCTATGAGGCGACAGTGCTAACCACTGAGCCACCGCGCCGCCCCTATATTCTAATTATTTTTGGCATACAGTGTATAGATGGCTAATCTTACAATTATACCAGTGCGACTTAAGTTTTGTGGTCCAGTGTCACATATTTGTATTGAAATGCCTTATAACTAAAATGTTAGTGGTGCACAGTATTGATACAGTATTTTTGCAACATGTATAACATTTATTTTCACTAAATGAACATCAACACTGAATTCATGTCTTCTTTTCTGTTTGCTCAGTGGGATGGTGCCATTCGTTTGTGGGAACACACACAGAACCACCTTCTGGACAAGGACAGAGAGAGGATGAATGTGGATGTGGTGGACATGAAGAGAAAGGGCTATTGATGATTTCAGAGGTAGAAGGTGCCGTAACTGGAGGAATGGGATAATCGAGGGATGCTATAAAAAGAGAACAAATGTTGTGCAGAGAATTACATTGCTGTAGTGTTAGGCCGGATCTTCAAGTGCTGTCTGTTTGATTCCACTTTGCTCAGGCAGTACAAAAAACATGATTAAAACTATAAGGATTGGTGACGTTTAGTTAATGGACACAAGCTGGTTTGATTTCTCTTTTACGTCTACTTTTACACCTCACTTTCAGCTCTGAGGTGAATCTTAAAATGCAGGTTTAAGCTTTAGCGAAAGACTTTTGAGTGTCACTGCATGATTTCAGACAGGCACAATACAACTGCTTTGCTTAAAACAAATACTGTATGGTAACAGTGTTGCTTTTCTAAAAAGATGAAAGAAGAAGCAATACTTGTATCCTGAAATACAGCAGAAATAAGTTAGATATAAAGAACATGTTTCAAATGATTCTGGGAATAATTCTAAATATTGTAAGATATTTTATTGATATTAATGTCCAGGATTTTGATTTTGTAGCTTAATGTATAAAATCTTTTTCTTTGTTAAAACTTTAGATGTGTGTGTGTGTGTGTGTGTGTGTGTGTGTGTGTGTGTGTGTGTGTGTGTGTGTGTGTGTGTGTGTGTGTGTGTGTGTGTGTGTGTGTGTGTGTGTGTGTGTGTGTGTGTGTGTGTGTGTGTGTGTGTGTGTAGATGTATTCGTGGGTTTATGGGTGTGGGAGAGAGTTTCTTTATGCGTGTGTGCAAATGTATTTCTGTTGATATAAAAGGATTGATTTATGTCTGATTTAAGTGCATTTAGGATTCACTGAAACACTCATCAATTTGTTTTACAAGAATAATTAAACTTATGTGCACAACTTTGAATGTTTTGGGCTGTAAATCTTATTTAAAGTATATTAGCCTACTGGAAGCCAATGCTGTCAGCATGCTTTGGAAGGAAATGGATGCATATCTGCTTGTTAAGTGTAACGTCATGCGAAGTGGCTTTCGGGTCCAAGCGATCTATTAAACTTAATGGGGAGACTCAACAAATGCTAAAAATAAACGTTTACAAAACTATGTAATACTTACGAAAATCACGATCGCTATATATTCATTCATTCATTTTCTTGTCAGCTTAGTCACTTTATTAATCTAGTCGCCACAGCAGAATGAACTGCCAACTTATCCAGCAAGTTTTTACGCAGCGGATGCCCTCGAGCCACAACCCATCTTTGGGAAACATCCACACACGCAATCACACACACACACACTCATACATTACGGACAATTTAGCCTACCCAATTCACCTGTACTTTGGACTGTTAGGGGAAACCAGAGCACCCGGAGGAAACCCACGCGAACGCAGGGAGAACATTCAAACTCCACACAGAAACGCCAACTGAGCCGAGGCTCGAACCAGCAACCCAGCGACCTTCTTGCTGTGAGGCGACAGCACTACCTACTATGCCACTGCTTAGCCCCATTGCTATATATAGCAACATATATGCCTAATATCCGAAGGCCAGAAAGGGATAATTTTTTTCATACATTTTTAAAATATCAGTGATGCAGCATATTTACACCATGATTTTATATAAAAGTCACTTAAATGCAAGATGACTAAGAAGTGGTCATAAACGAATATTTTCTCAATTCAGATGTGTAGTCTCTTGGACCCAAAAGCTTTATTTCATGTCACGACATAACAAGCAGATATGTTTTTTTTCAGACAAATTGTGAAATGATTTTAGATACCTGTATACAGTAGTCAACAGCAAGTAGATTAAAGCCTTTAAACAGAGTTGAACAAACTGTTGAACCACACCGATTCTTGTCTTAGGAAAATTTTGAAAAAAAAAACAAATGATACAAAAAATAAGAAATAATAACTCTGATTCTCAGCCATAAGAGTCATTTTAACCAATTGTCATTACAAAAAATATTAATAAAAAATAAAAATGACTCTTTTATTTGAATTGTCAGCAACAGGAATGACCATAATAAACATAAAAGTGATCTGCTGAACACAAAAAGAAGATGCACTACCTGACAAAATTCTTATTGCCTATGCAAGTTTTAGGAACACCAAATAATAACTTCTAGGAGATACCAAATAATAACTTCTAGTTGATTATTTGGTATCAGACGTGGCTTATATGTAAGGCAAAGGCCTCACGATTACGCTTATTTTAGCAAAATAAAATCTGATCATGCCTTGATTTTTCATTAGTTAATTAGGACAGTAAGACTGTGACTCTCACTGTGCTTAGATAAGTCTTTTCGCTTAACAGAAATAATGAATGACTCTCATGAGCTCAGATCCTGCTGCCCTCTGCTGTGGTTTGTAATGTAATGGGCAGCACAGCTGTCTTGATACCTCAGGCTGTTGATGTTACCATTCACTTTGCAGATCTCTCTCACACCCCAACACGAGTGTAACCCCAAACCATGATTTTTCCATCACCAAACTTGACTGATTTCTATTAGAATCTTGGGTCCATGCGGGTTCCAATAGGTCTTCTGCAGCATTTGTGATCACTGGGATGCAGTTCAACAGATAATTCATCAGATAAATCTATCTTCTGACACTTTTTCAAACAATCAACTTGATTTGTTGCTCTTACAATTGGGATCAGCGACAAGACTTTTGTCAGGTAGTGTATATTGAAAAATGTTGGTTATCAGTAGCCATCAATTTTTTCCTTTACTATGGATATCAATGGCTACTAGTTTCTATGATTTTTCAAAATATCTTCTTTTTTTGTTGAAAAAAAAACTGCCTTGGTAAGTAAATAATACAGGGATGCACAATATATCAGGAGCTATATCTATATTGGCTGATATATGAGATTTTAAATATTTTCATCAATATCAGACATTATTATTATTATCAGGGGCCAAGCATCAAAGGTGTGTAGACATCTATTGTATCCGTTACGGTTCTTAATATTATCTTAAATAATAATATAATAAATACATTTATATAATTATTTTATTATTATGACTGTACAGTAGTGCAATGGGTAGCACGTTCGCCTTACAGCAAGAAGGTCGCTGGTTCAGTTGGCATTTCTGTGTGGAGTTTGCATGTTCTCCCCGTGATCACGTGTGTTTCCTCCGGGTTCTCTGGTTTCCCCCACAAGTCTAAAGACATGCGATATAGGTAAATGAATAAATAAAATTGTCCGTATTGTATGTGTGAATGAGTGTGTATGAATTATTCCCAGTGATAGGTTGCAGCTGGAAGGGTACCGCTGCATAAAAACTTATGCTGGATAAGTTGGTGGTTCATTCCGCAGTGGTGACCCCAGATTAATAAAGGGACTAAGCTGAAAAGAAAATGTATGAATCTTATTATTATATTTCCGCCTTCTTCCTCTTTGTCTATGGCAGCCCTATGAACTTGCGGCATTTGCGTAAGCTTTGGCACACTGATAGAGAACAGTCTGATCTTCAAGCACAAATAATTTGCACTCTTTCTCAAACTCTCTAGCGCCACCACTTGTCCAAAGTTCACATATGTTTATTGTTATATATTTTGAACTGAACGGGCTACAATCAAAATAATTTTTCCACGATGTCCCTGACTCAGCCTGATTTTAACCACTATGAGGTCATTTTCTGTCATGCCATTTTTTTTCTTTATTTAAAATTTTTTGCAAAACCTGTTTGAACGAACTCGTCCTAGGCAGTTTGTCCAATTTTTACCAAAATTGAACCATGATCTACAGACCATGCTGACCAAAAGTTATGGAATTTAAGTTTATTAGACAAACTGTTTTCGATTAACTTGCGAACAAATTTAACGAAGAGCTTGCGAAAATTGACTTAAGGTGTTATCTCCATAATGCAGTGGCGTATTCACACCCAATTTGGTGTGTGTTATCACAACCATTGTCTGAAATGAGCTGCGCTGTTTCAGTGAGCTGCTTCCTAGTGGTCCAGGGATACAAAAAAAAAAATGCTTTTTTTACTTCTTAACTCTTTGTCCAAAGCTCTCTTTACATCCCGCTGAGCATGTAAAGTTGAATGATCTCTGATTTTCCCAGGTCAACCATTTTGGTCATCTGCCATTTTGAATTATGTGTAAAATTGCTATATTTTACAGACACATTGGCAAATTATTATGAAATTAATTAACTTTAAGTCACTTGGTTGCTTTAGTTATGCTTTTTCTTTTTTAGGTCAGGCAGTATGTTTTATTTAAAAAGAAAGTTAACCATAGAAAAGAAAAGTTGGTTAATAAAGTTGAGAGATCAGTTCAAATTCTTCTAAAGAAAATGTTTTAAAATAAAATCAACTACATTTTGTTTTTGCAAAATTCAAAAAAGTATTATTGATATTTATCGGCTAGTAAGTAAAATAAAATATTTAAAAATTGGGTTAACTTTAACAAGTGTTACAATTCACTATCTAAAGTGGCTACATTGTCTGTCAGTATATTTTAGCAGTTGCAGTACAGACAAACCAGTTAAATTATGCATCTGAAAGCCTCCAATAAACAAAATGCTGAGAGCTATAAGCATAATTGGGACGTGCTGTACTGCTTAATATCATGCACACATGCCAATAAGCTGATAAGATGGGAATGTTTGGAGCTGTTAGGAAGTAAAAAGCTTTCAGGAGTGATTGAATGACAAGAAGTGTGACAGAAAGCAGCTGAGAAAACAAGAGGGAAGCCAAAAAAACGCTGCTGACATAGTAGAACAGGCTTGTTACTGTCTCTCAGTTTCTTCTCTTATAGTGGATTTGTTGGACAGTCTGTGGAGCTTCTTCTGCCCTGAGAAAACCAAGATGGATCTTACGGAGATGCTTTACAAAATCAGCAGATTTCTGCATTGGGCTCTGGTGTGGTTAAGTGATCTCACAGCTGGAATACTTGCTCATCGGTTATTCAGGCAGCACTTTCATTTACTGCTCTCTGTGTTGGTTCTTTTCGGACCTCTTCTGAGTTTTTGGGTCTCCAAGTACAGCATATTTTGCAACAAGAACCACTACCTGTACAGGCAAGATCTTACTTTAGTTAACTGTAATAGAGGAATAAATAGTAATGATGAGATTCCATGAAACATTTCCATGAAAATTATCACACTTTAATGCTTGCAGCAAAATATTTTTCATTAATTCATAATGTGACATATTTTTCAGCATGCTTTTTTTAGATAATAATATGTGTAGTATTACATATTATGAAGATGTGATAAATGGTCTAATATTTACACTGCGTTGCAAAAACAAAATTTTTTTTCTTATTTTATGTGTATTATTTTGTATCAGTATCTCGTAAATAATAGTTTATATTGATAAGTAGTAATATGTACATTTTTATTACCTTTATTAAGAATCAGTTACTAATGTAATGCTATGAATATAACTAAAGCTGCTTTATGGCATTAAAACAAATAGAAAGAAATGATTACCTAATAATGTATTCACACAATGACTGTAAATTATTCATAAATTAGTTACATTTTCTATTAATTAAGTTAATATGTTCATCCAAATTTTTCCAAAATTGTTCTTTGTTTAAAGAATATATTTTAAGTTAAGATTTGTGCTTCAGAAAACTATTAAATAATTTATATATAAAGATGCATATTATACACACTGCTCCGTGATCTGAAATTTTTAGATTACTTAATACTATTAATACAATAACTGGAAATTATTAATCATTAAATTAATATTTTAAAATAAATAAATCCCTACAGTCCAAAATGTAAAAATGTGCAGTGAATGCATTAACTTAAATAAAATCCTGTTTAACTTTTTGAGTAGAAATGTTATATGTACTGAAACAAAATCATGTTATTCCTGTACCCATATAGTGCATAATGAGCTAAATATATTTCTGTTTACTTTTGTATTTATTTATATTTTACAGTCATTGCTATTCATTTCAACTGAATACAACCCCAATCAAAAATATTTGGGACAGTATGCTTAACGCAAAAAAAGAAAAAAAAAAGTGATTTCTAGATTTACTTTGACTTGTATTTCATTGCAGACAGATTGTTTTTTTGTTTTTAAACACGTATTCAAATTTAGATTGTTGCAATACATTCCTAAAAAAAGTTGGAACAGTAAAGCCTTGACCACTTTGTAATGTAGCAATTTCTTTTCACAACATTTGTGTTTATGGACTTTTCCCAACACAAGTTTAAGGACTGAAGACACCAAGTGATGAAGTGTTTCAGGTGTAATTTTGTCCCATTCTTCCTGCAAACAACAGGTATGGGGTCTTTGTTGTCACATTTTGCACTTTAAAATGTGCCACACATTCTCTATTGCATACAGGTCGGTACTGCAAGCAGGCCAGTCATGTACCTGTAGTCTCTTCCTCCGCAGCCAAGACTTTGTAATGTGTGCAGAATGTGGTCTTGCATTGTCAATATGCATGGGCATGCCTGGAAAAAAAGGCATTAAATTGTGCTCCAAAATTTCCTTGTCCTTTATCATTAATGGTGCATCACAAAAGTGCAAGTTATCTTTGCCAAGGGCACTGACACAAGCCAATACCATGACAAACCCTGGCTTTTGGACTTGTTGCTGGCAACAGTCTGGATCTCCCCTTTTCTTCTTTGGTATGAAGCACACAGCATCCATTTTTCGCAAAAAATACCTGAAATACTGATTCATCTGGTTACTGTAGACGTTTCCACTGTGTGATGGTCTATCCCAGATGTCTCAGAGCTTGGAGAAGTCAATGGTGCTTATGGACACTTAACATAGGGTTTCCTTTTGGCACAGTACAGTTTTCACTAGTGTTTGTGGATGTAACTACATATTGTGGTACTTGACATATATTTATAGATGAATGATGATTTTTGACGCAGTGCTGCCTGAAGAAACAGAGATCATAGTACTTCAGCTTAGGCTTGCATCCTTGTCCTTTATACACTGAAATTCCTCAAGATTCCTTGAATCTTTAATAAATTTTATGCATCTTTGTAACTGAAATGTCTACCTGTCTTTCTTTGAGGAACATTGTTTTTAAACATTTCTATAATTTTATATTTGATGGCAAATTGGCAGTCTTCGGCTCATCTTAGCTCCTAAAGAACTAGACTTTCCTTGGGTGTTGCTTTTGTACTCAATCATAATTACAATCACCTGTTGACATTTCCTGTTTCAAATCACATCACTATTTTACTAAATTTTACTTGATTACTAGCGCTAAATTGCTCCTTTCCCAACTTTTTCTTAGAATGTGTTGCAGGGCTGAATGACAGGAAAGGATGTATATGTACAAATGAAATGAAGTTGACCAGACAAAAGATTATTTTCTGTACATATTGTCTGCTATGAAATACAAATCAAACTAAATTTGGACATAACATTCTTTTTTTATTTGCGTTTTTCATACTGTCCCAACTTTGTCTGATTTGGGATTGTACTTGGCGTTCCCTATTTAAAGTTTATTCTCTCACAGGCTATTCCTTCAATCTTGCTTTGGCTGGACCTGTATTTTCGGGGGCTCTTTCGTCTTTCTGTTGTCCTTCAGCATCAGCAACTCTATCCTCCACTCGCTCCGTCATCTCTTACCTTTCGCAGTATCCGGGAGTCTCTGGACGCTCCTCCGCCTTTTGCTGACCTTCCTTGTGGATGCTTCTGGAAGCTGTTTTGAGCCGCTAATAAGCCCAAATGATGCTCACAGGAACCCTGAAGAGCTCTTGAACTTTAAGGAAGGCCCTTTATTACTGCTGAGAGGGGTGGAAAGTAAAGAAGCCTGTCTGAAAGGAGGTCTAAAATGGCAGGGATGTGAAGTGTCGCATGAAATCCTGATTCTGACTTTCTGTTGTTTGCTTCTTTCTGAGGAAATATCCGTGTTCTGGTCCTTCATTGGTTTTGGAAAGCCTCTCGGGGTGCCGTTGAGGATCATCTTCATGTTGTGTGTGTTTTTGATGAGTCTCTGGATGTTCCTGATCCTCTGTTTGCTGGCACACTTTCCGCTCTTCCCTTCTCAGCTGGTCGGAGGTGCTCTTGGGTATCTGGGATGGAAGGGGCTTTATAAGGGCTGGGGGGGTTGTAAGCCTGGATGGTGTTGTCTTGGAATAACAGGTTGTCAATCAAGTGGGCATTACACAGTTAATTAATTAATCAATTAATGACCCCCACGCCTGCCTGTTACATTTCAATTATTTTAAAACATAATTAATTAGGGTAATTATGCAAGTAATTGTATAACAATGTTTGTTCTGTAGCTAATTTGAAAAAAAGGCTAATATTAGGCTAATATTAATATTGATCTTTAAATGGTTTTAAAAAATAAAAGAAGCTGCCAAAAAATTATAATTATAGGAATATATTATCATATTAAGGGAATATTGTGAAGAGTTTCTAAACATGTACATCATGTGAATATATGTTTCACATAGAGAGCTAAAAATATATATATAATGCCTGTAAAGATCAAGTTTGCATTTTGTACATAGAGAATGATAAGCCCCCTTTAAAATTTAAATTTCACAGTATGTATGATAATATTTTTTCCTCTGGAAAAAAATGTGTTTGTTTTATTTCGGCTACAATAAAAGCAGTTTTTAATTTTTTAAACATCATTTTAGGGATAAAATTATTAGCCCCTTTAAGCTATATTTTTTCTCGATAATCTACAGAACAAACCACTGTTATACAATAACATTCCTGATTACCCTAACCTTCTACTTAACTTAATGAACCTAGTTAAGCCTTTAAATGTCTCTGTAAGCTGTATAGGTGTCTTGAAAAATATATTATTTAATGTCATCACTTGATCTTTACAAGCATTTATAATTTAAAAGTAAGTATTTTTTTCACTTGACCTTTTCAATAAAAACACAAGTGACACCCTATTTAGCCTAAACTATTTATTGAATTAAAAACTGTAATACAGCACATTCTGTTGATGTAATCGTATCTCAAGTCACTGCACTGTGACTGTGGTTATGAAACTCAATACGGCATGTTTTACTTTTCAGTAAATGTGTGTGTGTTTGCGTGTGTGATTTCAGTGCACATCAGCCTGGTTGCTCAGTAGATAAGTGCTTTTGAAGATAAGTCTCCCCTGGGCTTCTTAATCTTGTCAAAGTTCTTGGTGATGACATCATACAGCATGGCCTAGAGTCGAAGGAATGGATGAAATCAGTCACAGCCATCTTACAGACTCACCAACTTACATGAATGATGAGAAATGCAGCACTGAGATGTTGTTTTCAGGGAAAGCCGAGACAGAACTTACGTAAGTGTTGCGAATCTCCAGAACTATGATGCGTAACTCACAATACTGGTGCTGATCCAGTTCATGAACAAGCTGTCGGAAATCTCCCTGTTGCCCAGAAGAAAAGCAGGGTTAAAATCATTATCAGAAGCTCAAAGCATATACAAAAAAAGAACTAACAATAAATTAAACTGACCACATGTGGCTGTTTGGAAGCCTTGGCTACAGCGTCTCCTCTCTCACTGTAGTACCTGAGGAAACAACAAAACTGTTTTTTACCCTTATAAAACATTATAACTTTTAAAACACCTTCACTTTGCACACTGCTTCATTTACCCAGCTTTAACTAATAATCCAGGGTTATCAATCAGGGTTATCAATCAATCTTCCGACCAATCCATATCCGTTTCCAGACAAAAAAAAAAGGAAAATGAAGAAAACGGGCGTTTTTCTGTTTTTCATTTGCTCACAAGAAACGAAAAAACTATATTTTTGCTCGATTTTCATTTTTTTTTATTTAGGGTAGGAAAATGGATAAACTACTTCAAAATTCATTATACACATGTAGATTATTAATAAGGACTAAACTATTAATTACTGTTATTCTCCAGATGAAAAAGGCTTGATTAAAGTCCTGTCATTTTAAAGATTTTCTACAATTTAAGCAGAATTAGGTTAAAGAAAACTTAATTCAGAATGCATGAATTTCTGTGCGTATCACACGCTTTACGAGCGCACTTGCCTTTTTTATTATTTTATGCAATAGTAAATGCATAAAATAAAATGCAAACAGTTGGCAGCACGGAATAGTAGCCTATATACAATATTTATATGTGCAATATGGAACTGGGCCCGCTGTATTACATAGTTTGGTCACAAAGAGCAAATGTCAAGTTCAATATTAGCGCAACGCACAGACAGAAAGCTTATCTGTTAGTCTAAACTACAACACATTATTTATTATGAATTATAAGTATGTGTTTAATTAGTTTCTCTGAAAATTTGTTCATTAATCCAGTGTTTTCGAAATCCAAGTCTCAAAAGTCTTGTTGTGTGAGAAAACACATGTGAAATAGGCATTGCGGCTGACCGTATTGTATTGACCTTAACTTTTTTTAGTTCAGCTCTTAAATGAGTTGGCTATACCTAAGATGTTGCTCGTGCACAGCCAACGATCCTATTGTATTTTATTTAAACCCACTTATTTAAAATATTCAGTATAGCCTGCCCTGGGCTAGGCCTATATATATATATATATATATATATATATATATATATATATATATATATATATATATATATATATATATATATATATATATATATAGCCGAAACAAAACCAGTAGGAGGAACTAAAGTAATTTTAAATATAGTAACCTTTGTTGTAGCTACTGAGCCCTATTTAAAAAATTAAACAATTAAAAACAGTAAGTGAACAATATTAAATATTATTATTATTAGTATTATTATTGTTATTTAGGCCTACAGTAGCTCGGAAACAATCATGCAAACCAGATGCTGCTTGAAAATGGCTGTCTTTGCTCAGCATCAGGTGCAAAACAGCAAGATGTTTGGTGATTCAAATGAAAATGGAAAAACGGCAGTTTTCTTCATTTTCCTTTTTTTGTTTGAAAACGGATATCGATTGGATGGAAGATACCCTGTTTTTTATCATACTGATGTTTCAAACTTAAATAAAGGATTCAATTAAATTTGGTACTAAGCAACAGCTTAAATTTTAACTTACTTCGTAAAGTATGCTCTATATGACATGGTACATGGTGCATGGTACATCAGCAAGTATTTCATTAAGATTATGTTTAATGTGGTTATTATTTTTTTTGCCAGACAACAGCAGTGTATTTTATAAACTATAAATGCTAGTTTTGCAATTAATAATGTGTATTTCAATGTCAGAAACCTAATTTAAGTTTAATGTGATTGAAAACCCTGATAAGTTGTGATAGATGTTAAGCATGCCTCACATCAACACTCCAGCCCTTGTGGGAAAGCAGATTTAAATTTAGCAACTGATCGTGTGACACACTGATTGACACCACTATTCACACCACTGTTATGTTCACTTCAGATTTTAGCCTAGACTGACCACACGTTGTAGTGAACTCATCAATGGTTAATGAGCAACTACCGAGGAGGAAGAGGATGTTTGCTAGTTTAGAATGATGACGAGTAAATTAAAAATTATGTAAAAGTTGCATGAACTCGACATGACTGCACGTACTACGGCCACATTGCAAATGATCAAATCTGTATTGCCTTGTTTCAGTGACTTAAAAAATTTAGTTTTTCACTAACCACGTATAAACGTTTCTTTCTCAAAAACACTAAAACATACAAACATGCTGCTTAGGTATTAATGTAGCCTAACTTGTGCTGTTTACAGTTTTATCACACTTTAGCCATTAATATTTTTTTAAGATACTGAAAACAACACAAATGTCAGTGCATGTCCAAACTTTTCTAGAGCCCCAAAACACCCTCAGACCCCAGAAGGTTAAAACCACATATGAAAGTGACATAAATCAGATTTCTCTGGTTTGTGCTGTTCACACTATCAATTTGAAAAGTAACGGGTAGCTTTAGACTGCATGATTTTTAAAGCGTCACAAACTTTCACAAGTTTTTCCTTTATTTCTTGGTTCCAAATCGACCGAAAAGAAGCCCTTTTAACTTCTCCCCCATCCTCCCAATGACCTGCAGATACCCATGCTAGTGGATACTGCTCTCTCATTGGGTGTAGTTAATCACTGATGTTATTTTCAATATGATTTTATTTGCCGACAGCTCCTGATATTTAGCATAACAAATATCTCACAGGTTTCTGCGACTCATCTGCGATTATCTCAGATCTTTTTTTGGCCACATTCACACTGGAGGCAAATGTGGCACGAATCTGATTTTTTCCCCCTCATGTGACTCAGGTAATGAGTGTGAACAGCCCAAACCACATGGAATCTGATCTTTTCACTACAGATTTGTGCCACTTTCATATGAAGTCTTATAGATCTGATGTTCTGCAGTGCGACTGCAGTGTGAATGGTTATGTCAGATTTTATGTTACTTTTACATAATCTTTGAGCCACATGTGTCATTATTCTGTGCTACAAACATCATCTACACCTCAGCAGCATAGTAGAATGGCACACAGGGTGATTACTGTACCACAGAAAGTTGGTTGTTTGTGTATATTTTAAAGGCAAATCTGGTGCTTGTTAACTAATCTGGTTAACGACTGAGGCACAGGTTGATCGCAAAGCCGAAGAGCATCGTGGGTGATGCGAATAAGGGAATCCGTGTGCAAAGAAGGGGAAACTTTCTCCCTGAGAGAAAAAAGGGCAGTTCTCGAGCACCCAAACCCCCCTTCTGCATGTGTCTGTTGTTTATAATAAAGTGAAAAGAAATAACTCTGCAAACAGACATAAACCAACTCCGCTTCACAGTTCAGTCTGCGGCTGCGCATTAACCCTTTATAAGTTCACTACACCGGTGGTATAATTAGACATTTTGTGCTCTCCGTAATGTACTTTTGAGCATGCGGGTCAGTTTAGGACCATGATCTGTTCACACTGCAAATCTAATAATGGCCACATTTATAAGAGCAGTGTGAACAGCCTAGCAAAACAATTAGATCTGAGAAAAAAATCTGATTGAGCACATTCCCCGTTGTTAAAAATTATTTCGATAAAACTAGATTTAAATCCCACTTTACACATTTATACCAATGGTATTAGAGTGAGTTAGCTTGTCAAACCTACCAACATGTTACCTTTATTTTCACACCGATATTTGTATGCTGATTTTGTTTTAATGTTCTATTTTAATGCTAGGCAACTTTATAATCAGTATAAGTCAGAAGTAATGGTGAGTCTGACGGTGCACCTAAAAATGACACATGTGATTGGCTCTTGGTTGGATTTGGTTTGGAAGTAACTAACATATTGTGTCAGAATACACAGGATAATCCTGCGTTTCTAAAATAAAAATGTGAATTCCTCATATATTCAGGGTGAAAAGCGGTGTTTAGGATGACAGTAAGCCAGTGTAATGCGTTCTGTGAAAAGCTCTGTCACAACTGCATATTTACATGAGCCAAAATGAAATAAATACAAAAAAACATAATCGTTGTTTATAATAGAGTCATCATAAGGTTAGTGTTGGACTGTGGTTGTCATGTAGTCTGGTCTCTTACTTGGATATCTGTGTCTGGAATCCTTCGATCTTGGTGCGGGTGTTGGTCATCAGTTCAAAAACCTTTTCCTATGAGATAAATTTTGCATATATTCAAGCGAAATTCTCACAACACAATACAATAAAAATTGCATTTCCATTGCTTTACTTTTATACCACAGCCACATTAGTATGTGTAATGTTTTATCAATGTAATTATTTAGGATACACACCACTGTTTAAACATGGTGTTTGTGATGTTCTCCAGTCTAAAAATCCTTCAGATGTCATTCTATTCATCTAATTCAAAGCTCAAGAAACATTGTTGATTATTTTTAATGTTGTTCAAAAGTTGTGCTGCTTAAATGTTTTGTAAAAACAATAATATAATTTTTCTTTTATGAATAGAAGGTTAAATAGAATGCTATTGTAATAAAGTGT